CCTACAATTGGTCGCGATACAACTGCATTCACGTACGAGTTGATGTAAATCTTGACACAAAAAAGATTCCTTAATTTAAAAGATCTCTAAACGTGTACCGAAATGACATTCACTGCCTGATGTTGCGGCGATTCGATAATTTAAACGTCAGTGGTAAAATTTAAGGCATGACGTCCTGGCAAGTCTAATCAGGTCGGAGGAACAACAGTTGATCCAGCTTACCTTCTCGAATGCCAAAGTGCATTTTCTGATCACCATTACATCAACCCACTCTGAAATCACACGTATAAACGGGGACGGATCAATGCGATGATTAAATGCACAGAAAACTATCCCAAAATTGTTTTGCCTTTTCTACTTGTGCGTTTCTCGAATATCTAAAGACGTAAATTTGGGTGCTTCATGAAGTATTGACTACTTCGTGCTGATTTGTTAAAGCTTCACTTGTGTATCATGTTTTAATCAAGGCTGTAATTTTTAGCATTGGCTGCTCAACTGTTAATTAAATCGAGTAGCAGCTCTAGATCGATAGGATAACTTACAGCGCTTTAGCATTCGAAATCTACTTAAAATGGTATTAATTTCTAACAAAACAGCCGTGCAGTCAGACCAAAGTAGACTTGAATGTTGCTTTACTTTTATATGGTTCTTTTCGGGAATTCAACTAAATTTCTGTTGCAAGGTGTTAGGCTCCTTTATGTTTAAGTACCCTTTGTGTTAAAACATTCGGTAGTTCAATAGTCATTTTAAAATATTTAAATTGAAAAAATCATGATACCTCACTTTTAATTATATAGAAGTGCTTAATGAAGTCGACGGGTTTGTCTCATTGCTCCTTGGCAGTTGTACGTTGTCTATTTTAAGCATTATCCTGTGGTAATGCACAGTTTATTATACTCATTCTTTTTAAGCATTTACTGTCTTACTGTTTAATAAATTAAATAGCAGCGTTAGACCAATTGGCTAATTCACGGTACTCTAGCGTTAAAAATCTTTGATCATAGTGTTTTGTTTTATTGTACTACTTTGCCTAAATGACCTTGGATTTAATTTATTTGGCTCGAATTTCGAAGTTTGTGTGAACTGCACTTTTTTTGTAGAAATGAAAACATTGCTTGGTTTTTTTTTACGTATACAAGAATTCTTAGGCTTTTTTAATCGTGTACTTAAGGGAATATTTTTTGTTTGTGTGTGCAATCAGTAAAAATATGTATTGTGCTACAGAAATTAGAGTTTTTAAAAAATTTGAACTTGTATGTGTGCGTATTCAGGGTGATTAATTCTGGAATCATCTTTTTTGATTTTTTTTTGTTAAGTGCCTTGTAGGTGAATTATTTGACAGATGACCTGATTTAATTTGTTTATTTTTTGCTTGTCTGGAAATACTCCTCAAAAACAGCCTCGCAAGCACTAAATTGCTTTGATCTCGCGTTTTTCAAAAATAGTTGGGACTTTTGACTCCTTTTTGGCGTCTTTTGCATTTCTGGTTTGCCATGTCTCTTAGAAGAAGACTGTAAGCACAATCTTAGGGGAACTACACCCTGTAGTTGCCCGCTTGATAGTCACGATACAATGTTTTATGGCGATTCATCGTGCATTGCTTGATACTCGGGCTGTTTTGCAAACTCATCTGCTACTTCCATTACTCATGTTTATTGTCACATCATCGTTTTTCCTTAATTCGCTTCACTAGTGTGAGTGTTAGGCTTGGAAATTATGAAGAGATCGTCAGCGTTTCTGTCTTTCCCAAATAAAAAAATTATTTCGATTTCAAAATCAATCACGCGCTTTTGTAATCGTGTTAATTCCCTATTGTTTTCCCGAAGCTCTCGTAGTCCCATGTTTGGACAATCGTTTTATTCCGCATCTCACCTTGTGACCTCTTTATTGTAATCAAGAATACATGTGACATTCGAAAATGTTGTGTTATGTAATTGATCATTGCCTTTGATGATTTTAACGATTACGCTGATCAGTATGACTGTAGTTTCATCTAAACACACAGTTGACTCCCGTTATCTTTTTTGATCAGGTTCATTTCAATTTGTGATTACGATGAGCAGTCCAGATGTTGATCTTCAGCCACTACTCTACGCCAAAACGGATAATATAAGATCCTGTGTAAACCTGCTTAAAGCCATACACTTTCGTGATGTAAGGTTGCAATATCTAAACATCTACATTGCAGCTTGCAACGATATTCGTATCGAAGAATGGACTCAAAGTAACTGTAGAAGATTCAAAGTGCGTTCAGGGCAGCGCGTTCCTACAGTCAGAGATGTTTGAGGAATTTACAATTGCGGTGCCAGTATTCGCTTTCAAGATCAATCTAAATGTTTTACTTGTAAGTCCAGTTTCTCATTCATTTTTAGGATTGTCTTTCTGTATTTGGCATCGGTAATAGTAACTCACTTACATCGGTAATCATATCCTACAAAGGCCACGGGAGCTCCCTAGACTTACTGTAGGTTCTAATTTTTAAGTAATCTCCGAAGACTAGAAGACAGTGGTGTTGTAGCCGAGTGCAACATAAAAACCATGGATGCGCTTGAGGTACTTGACTTCGATTTTCCTGGCAGTCAGCTTATCAGCAAAGTTATCATTAAGTCTGACTGTATGCAGGAAGCATTTTCTGAATTGGATGTCACAAGTGATGTACTTGAGGTTGCAACAGTTCCTCCTCCTTTGCCACAACCAAGACTTCGCCTAACCACTTACGGTTTCACTGGCACAACCCATTATGACTTTCCCCGCGATTCAGACCCCGTGGAAGTGTTTGAATGTACCACAACAGAGCCCTACATCGCTCGGTACCGTCTGGCGCTCTTGCGTCCAGCAACCACCCGCGCTCTCTCGCTATCTTCTCGTGTTTCCCTCCGAATGAACGAAAAGGGCTTTCTGTCACTGCAATACATGATACATACTGGCACTAACGATCCAGTGGCATCATTTGTAGAATTCTTCGTAAGTTTCCTCACTTTTTTTTCCGCGATGTAAGAAGTGGATCAAATATTTGCCTTTTGTATTTTAGTGCGTTCCAGATGTCGACGAGCCGAATGAACATGGATATGCAAATGCAGATACGTTAACGCAACTGAGAGCTGGCATTCCATGATTACTAAAGCATATGTACAAAAATTTAGCTATCTCTGAATGGCTCTTGTGCTTAATTGGAACGAGGTAATTCATCAGTATCTATTATCGACGTGCAATGTATTGACTCTGTACAACCATTGAAACAGGTCTCCCATGATTCAACCCTACTTCATACTTAAAAGTGCCCGCTTGTTTAGGATTCATTATCTAAGAAAACCTTTAGAACACATCACTAGCCCTACGTCTGGGTTCCGAAGTGAAATCATGCAAGCGCCAATTTACTGTGTTTCCACTTGTAAGCGTTGGGGGGGTCTATGGTTTTACGAGACGCTTAAGCAAATTAGCATTTCAAAAATTGTGGCCAAGCAAGGTTCTCTAAAGCATACCCATGAACTTGATGAAATGAAATAACCACATTTTGGCATCTGTTACACACTGGTTTCATTAAAATATTTCGTAATACCTGACTTTGCCGCAGGGAATTTACCAAAGTGTGTCTGGGTTCGCAGAAGTGAAAAGCTCACCCGGGGCCGTTATGCACTACAACTGCATGCGACTTAGTTGTTTCAAATCCGTAAATAAAACAAGATCGCAAAGTTCTCGACCCGGGGTACAGTGAATTAACAGAATGAATGTGGACGTTTGCCGTTAGAGTATTAAAAAAATATAAATGAAAGTTATTTCATCAAGAGTGCAGACAGGAACAAAAGGGACTACAACACTGAAAAACGCGAACGGAGGAGCGGCACAATAGTTGCTTCACCTAAAAATATAGTGAAGTACTGAAAATGGCTCATAAACTACGAAGGACACCGTTACGGCCAAAAGCAACTAGAAGCAGCTGACAGAAAGTGCTTTCAACAGTGTTTCAGTCGAAAGTGTCATTTATTAGGTATATGAAAAAATAAAAGTGTGTATGCAATTAACTACTCCAAACTAATACCACAGAAAACCCAAACTCAAAAATCGAACTAATTAGCAATTATGGAACCAGATAAAAAATAACTAAGCCGTTGGGGGTCGACGTCACCCCTGTAGGGGTGGTGTTTTCTTGTCTGTACTGTTGATTCCTATTGTAACCCTGTGTGGGCCAGGTGCCTAATGATACGATTTATTCCGAGGGCGACAATTTACAAGTGAACAGTTTTTAGTGCGATTCGCGACGTGAAATACCAGGAAGCGCCGACTAGACTCAAAATATTTTAATTCAACTTGGTGCGGGTTTTGCTTCATGTTATAAGAAAGGCACAACATCGGTAAGAGCAAGTGCGTGTTTAGTTGTAGGGAGAACTTATGGCTCTTAGTCACCTCATGTTATTGGCTCTTAAGAAGTGGTTCCATTTAATCACTGCGGTGGTAATCTATTGCGGTGCACAATGGGAGTGGTTTCTGAGCACGACTGAACCCAATGGAAGTGAAGAGCACAGAACCCAAGCAAATAGACCAGTAATTTTCGTTATTCGGAAACAGGCATGCGGCAGTGTTGGTGACAGAAACAACCCACCAGACATCTCATTTCAAAAGATGTATAATGAAAACGACTTTACGGCAAGACAGGAGTGGCCATAGAAATGGCATCTTGTGGTACTTTGCAGACGCCAAAATAGCATCAACATAAAGTGGTTGAATACATTGGTAAAACGAACGAGGAAGCCTACCATTAACTTAAGCACGTGGAAATGATTCGCAGGCTGTTAGCATGAGCATGTGCCAGCTCGGTCGGCATTGCGCATGGTAGTTGATGATTGCAAGCGGTTTAGTTCAGGAGGGACAGCAAGGTTGACTCGTTGAGAGCGCATGTTGCTACCAAGTAGCCTATCAGTAGATATTTCACCTGATTTAACTTTGGCCAGCAAGACCCGCACACAAGAAGTGAATGCATCGTCAACATTCTCGCCTGTCAGAGCTGAGGTTTCTATAAACTGGAGGTTATTCTCCTGTGCAAAAGTGCTAGCTTCCCAGTGGGTCACCTGGCCATCAGTGTCCTAAAACAAATGTACGGTACTCTGGTAAAACCTTGATGAAAATAAGGACTTAAACACTACTTAGACCCAACGAACGAGATAGAAAAAAAACCGCCATCTCCCTGTACAAGCCATTATTCCTATTAGGAACTTAAAGTAAAAGAAACATCAGATGCATTTTCTTGCGTTTGCTTCGAACATTGTATCAAAAATATCCGTGTGTACGACAGGGCAATGTGAATGAATCGGTGTTATCAGAAGTAACAAACCGAAAAAATCAAATAATTACGTCAACATTTGGGTTGGTAAACTTGATTTTTCAGTTTTGCGTCCTGGGGAGTGTTTTGAAGAACCGTCAAATTAATTTGTAGAACAACAATTTAACATAACACTATTAATGCAAATGTTAGAGTTAAGTAAGCAGACCAAAGACAGGATGATTCAAATCGGAACAAGGAATACAATTTTTGAAAAAATTCAAAATCCTAAATCACCACGCATTTACCAACTTGGTCAAGACCTTATTGCGAATTAAAACACCATTTAATTCGAAATTTCATGGTTCTTACGACTACTCGAGCAGTCAAACGTATAAGTTTCGGTTGTACACGTTTATAACCCTCTCGTAAGAAATACAATAAATATAATTTGAATTTTTTTTCCATTATAAAGAAACGCGTCATTTTAAATACAAACCTGTCTCTGTTTTGGATAAGTCAAGTGCAAAAAAGATAAAACCCCACATCTAGATTTCAGGGTGTATGACCATAAAAGACTATAAGGAAGTCTAATAGGACAGAATTATCCAATGAAATTATTAAACTCATTAAGACTTTAAGGTAAAAGAACCAAATTCTTCGGGGCATGATTGAAATGAATGTAGTAAAAGCAGGATGCTGTAGTGACACATGGAAGTGAGACCAACCCAATAGCACAGTATGAAATATCATTCAACCGAGTTCAAAGGTAGCCTTTTTGATTCAATGCACGGTTCACATTGCTATGCCAACTCACCATCCACAATTTAACGTTAATACCGAAGAGCATTTCCAAATGACAGTGTCATTGAGAAAACCGTTACATTAGACATCTAAAACCATCAAAGTCTGAATTTCTAAGTTAAGCAAAGGACATTTAGTTGACCCTCTCCAAATAGGACCGCGAATTATTTGCTCAGGTGAAGTGTGATCAAATACAGGGGCACGCAAATCAAAAAAACATGCGAACCGAGATCCAAACAGCTACAGCATGGATATTCACTTTGTTACCACAAGCGATTTCCACGTAAAACGCAATCAAGTGCTTGAGAACAAAAAACGGATTGATACTCAACATAAACGATAGGAAAAAAAACTGATCGGTGGGGTGAGGCAACCCCAAATCGCACCGCTTTCTCGCATACCTGAAGGTCTTTTTTATTTCCGACAAGAATGACAACAACTTCGGGACTGGCTAATTGTCTTGCGTCTCCAAGCCATTGTTCAACTGCGCTAAACGACGCTCGATTAGTCACATCGTAGACCAGCAGAGTGCCAACAGCGTCGTGGTAATATGATCGCGCCATCGAACGAAAGCGTTCTTGGCCTGTACAATTCACAATAATAATTATAGCTTAATCTTATTCAACAATGTTAAAAATACTTTAAGTGAACAGTTTACATTTTAAAATTCTACTTGCATGGTTTCAACATTGAATAAAAGAAGACCAGTCATACGAAGAACAACTCCGCAGAGGTACAAAAAAATTCGGATGTAAGCTATTACAATAGCCAACCTTTGATTTAAGATGAATCAAGACTCCAGTTCGAAGTTCGCATAGTAGTACAAATCCATAAGCTAAGTAATCGAATGTTCTCAAATGTAGGTTATTTAAGTTTCAATATATGATTTTGGTAACTGAAACTATGTAGATTACATAAAAAATATGCTAAGCTAATATCTAAATAAATAACTAAGTAAACAAAGAGATGCGCACTAGGAAAGTTGGATTATAGCTCCATCGATGAGCGTAAAGCTACGTATATCGAACGACGAGTTAAACCTCAAGGAATTTACCGCAATCCAGCTTTTGGGTGTTTCTATATAACATCCATTGACAGAAGTAAAGCGACAAAGAAAATATTAGATAAGTTCTGCCCCGCGAAACCTTTAGCCAAAGTATGAATTTGCAGACAAGTGGGAAATCGTGGCCAAGCCCAAAATGCAAAAAAGAACAATAACGAGATAATGATAATTCTACCAAGGTTGAATTATTTGGTAAATTGAGACTACTTCAAAAATACCATACATTAAGCTATCATGATTAAACGTTTGAAACTCGGTAAACGCAGAAACAAAGGTTTAACAATGAATCTGAATTCTCGAAAAGTTTACCTGCCGTATCCCAGATTTGAATTTTAACTTGTGTTCCATCAACGCTGATGACTCTACTGCCGAATTCAGCGCCAATTGTATACTGAGTATTTGGAAAAAATTTTTGTTCAGTATACCGCCTTAAAATGCACGTTTTGCCAGTTCCAGCATTTCCGATAATTAGAAATTTGAAAAGGTAATCAAAACGACCGGATTCCATCTGTACTATATTTCAGGTATTTCTAAGTCGTAGACAGAGGAGGGGTTCTACAGAAATCAAGATACGTATATAAAAGACCAAAAATAAGTTAAGGTTTTTTAATTGGAGGAGCACATTTAAACCGCCACAACAGTTTTAGCATTTTCAGATTAAAAAAAACTTTCATTAAAAAATTAAAGAGGAATAATTCCACAGATGAATGTGAAATATGTATATACATATTCAGTGCGTCACTATAATACATGGGCACAAGGAGGTAGCATACGGTTCCACACATAACTAAAAATAAGCAAATAATTCATCTTGCAACTCACTCATTGGTGTGCATGTAAAATCAAAATCAGGTGCCCACTATGACTAACTTTAAAAAAAAACAAGCACAAGGGGCAATAAAAACAGATACAAACGAAAAAAGTACAAATTAGACAGAATATTCAAGAATTCACCGCACATAATACCCGGTTCAAACAAAGCTTTGTAAATGTTATGTAAATTGCAAAAAACACTTACAATCCTGCATATTTTTTAACTGTAAAAACATTGGTAACAAAGATTACTATATTTTTTTTCCACAATTAGGCTGCAAACGAAAAGTTTACCTTCACGAGCAAATGCACAATAAGAGATGTTTTGCACACTATGATCTTAGTAATATTTTTGATTTATTATCAAACTGTAAAAAGTGAGAACGTGCTTATAAAGGTATACGGGTTACTTACAGCCGCAGTAATTGAATTCTTCAGATTTTCCACTAAAACTGTTCGGGAAGACCAATACATAAATGTCTATAACTTACAAATGTTGCGGATAGGTACAATTTGCATGATAAAATTGCATGCTTTTTAACAAAGTCTCTAAAATTCGGCCATTGTTGAATGATTCTGACTTGTTGCATCCAAATTTAACCCGTAAAATTTTGTCTTCTCAATATTCGGACAAACTTATACCCACTTTTTGTCAATTGATGCGTCCAAGTAATGCAATATTACCATAAATTATGATGATTGTATACTATACTGTGAAGCAGCAGCAAATGTTTCCTGATTTCGAAGTTTGAAACTACGAAGCCCAGCCTAAATTTATTTTGACATGGCTATCATTGTTTTACACCAAAGCAGCTGCACATGAATTTTTTGTCGAAATGATTACGCACAAGGACTAATCTAATCAGACACTGTGTGATTAAAAAAGCTAATCAAGCAATACAGAAGTTGAGTGTGAGAAAGTATCAAACGTTATCTTGGAATGCTCCTAGATTTCAAAACTTCTGTTTCGAAAGGGAATTGCAAATTTTTCCAATTAGGGCACTTTATCACTTAAGTTACAAGTAGTTGTATTTTTATGATTTTGTAATCAGGGAAAAGCTCGCCAGTGCGATTTATAGCCGGTCAATTGAGAAAAATACGAATGCCCTATGACACTGTGGTTACTTCTTGTCATGAGATATACGCGCATCAGTTCTTGATTGAGTTTTTTTTTAATGTTTGCATATTTTTGAATGCACTATTACATATGTTGTAAAGTATTAACTCCTTTACATCGTTCGAAATTACTCACTTTTGTAGGACTTGGAAGCTAGTCAATAAATAATTAAACTGTAGGCTGAATGGAAGTTGAGCCCAAAATGCCGATAATCATTACTTGTCAAAAATTAAGACAATAATTTGTCCTTGAATACTGCCTTCGTATCTAGGATGACATCTCAACAACATCATTCATGACGTTTTTAGTCAATATCGGTTCACGCGTTATGTTTAATTTTTGTTGGGGTGTTTCAGCATGAGCGTAGGAGATTGGAGTGGTGATGGTGCATATCCAATAAGCAGTTGTTTGTTTACTTTGTCGCCAGAAGAAAAAGAGGTAAAGTGTCTTACGTCTGTAGAAGCTCGTTTGCCAAAATTTTCACGAAATTCTTATGTTTTCACTGATGCAATTTTCGCAGTTAATGTCCTTTTGCCGAATTATAAAATAACTCCTTAAATCCGAATAAATTTAGAGAAATATTGTGTTTAGCTAGGAATTACATGTGTCCATAGTTATTGTATGAATGAATCAAGATTGGGGATGCTGAATAGTTTCCTGCAATTAGTAAATCTTTTCGAAGCACTTACCTGGCTACCCACTTGTGTTTTTTTCTTCCTGATGAATTTGCTGAAAATCATTACTCCTTATCTGCGTGTTAAGTTGTTGTCTAGAGGACGCATAGATTTTTTTATTGGAATTATTTAGCAGCATTTGACCTTTCAATGTTCAGAGCCAATTCAGCTTTTAAATCACCGAAGTTGTCTAAGTTATATTGTTATTCGACCTATGGTAATTACTTTTCCCCGTCATGGTTTGTATTTGCATCAGATGCTTTGTTGTCAAAGGAGTTTAACTATCCCTTCCACTTGGGGTCACCTCATATCTGTTTTCCATCTGTCCGTAAATTGTAAAATGACCTTTTGACTGAACCCACTAGGATATCTAGAAGTCGTTTAGAAGTACGTAACTAAAACACAATGTTTGTAAAATTGATGCTTTAACATCTCGAAATGTGGTGCATGTGGAAGTAAAAATTTTACGTTGCTCCATTTGCTGTAGTGTGTCGAGGAATTCCTGTCGTGCGTTAGTACGTCGGCCACAACTGTTGATGAAAACCAAGCATTCCGGTTCCTAGCAGCTCGCAAGTTTAATGTTCAGGAAGCTGTTGAACAATTTTACTCTTACGAGGTAACAAAGTTCCTTTACATAACAGTGTCTAGGCTTTTTTAAGGGTTGAAGGTATTACTGTGGTCGATCCATTGGAGGAAAATGTCCGGCGGGAACTTTTGTCGGGAAAATTTACCATTTTGGTAGTTACTAATTTTTATCTGACTTAGATTTTATAGAACGACAAAGACCCTGCCGGAGCACGTGTTGCCCAGTTATTTGTACGTCTCCATCGGCCGACAAGAAGCACGCACAAAGCGTTTCTTCAATCGGTTATATTTCAGTTGAATGCAGTTCTGCGAAAGTATGTCGATCATGCCTTTTTTGCAGTCCTTTTAACTATCACTTATGTGGCTATCTCTCGTATCGCTGTCAGGTGTGTTTTTGGCTAGGTTATGTATTTTGTTGTGGCTTAGGTTTTTTCAGTCTCATGATTGTGCTTTAATATTATGGGAATCACTACAAGAGAAATCTCCCCTATCGTTCTTGGATTAATTAATGATTGCCTCATTTAGTTATTTTACAACGGAACTTACCATATTGTGCTTTGGCTATCTCAAAAATTTATTACTTGTGTAGAGAAACTGCTGTTCGAAACGGCCTCATTCTTATCTACGACATGACAAACGCAAAGTATTCTAATTTCGATGCGGATCTATCAAAAAAACTTTTTAATATGCTCAAGGTACGTTGTATTTCTAATGCAAGATTCATAGTTATCCTGCATTAAAGCATTGAAATCAATATTTAACCATAAAGGCATTTATTAATGCGCCAACGTTCTCAAATTAATTAAAACCGACATAGACTTAAGAATATGCGCTCAGTAGTGTAAGTCATCCCATTCAATTCATTTCGTAATGTCTTTTTGGTGCACATTGATTTATGCACTTTTGCATGAAATATTTTACGGACCTCCAAATCAGGTAGAACAGGATTTAATTATAATACCTTATTGTTTCAAGACCTATATACTGCAACAACAGTGTCGGGCAAAATTTTCGAGGAGCAAGAAACTTGTTAAACTTTGAAGATTTAACGCGGTTCGCTGATTTGATTGTTGCTTTGGTGATGTGTGAAGCGTAATAGGTGCACTTTCCAGTCCTGTCTTATTCGAGGTGATGTGTTCGCTATCACAAAATGGTCTAAAATTGTTCTAATGGCGAAGCCACTGTTATCACAACCAATCTCTGTCCTGGCCTTTTAGTCGTACTACCCAATCCGCTTACGACGGATAATAGTGTTAACAGCTCCTCTTTGGTTCCGGGCCCCCTTTCACTTACTACGAGTTTTCATAAAGGAGGAACTACGAGACAGGGTCCATGTACTACGTCCTTCCCCGGGCTCAAGGCTGGCCTCTCTTAGTAATCCCGACCCCGCGACTGCCCAGAGGGAGCATTTTACTTGGCTTTCAACAGCCCTCACTGAAACCCTCAACCCCAACGAGGTAAGTGCCCGAGACTCTCGGCTCGCATTCACAGATATCGCCGCATTCTGCCTACACTTTAAATGCTTTCTATGACCCCGCTAAATTGTCATGTGTATTGTAAACGGGTAATTTATGTGAAAGCTTTGATCTCCAAATGATACGCGTGGTATGTAAAGGAACCACGTGCCTTTTTGAAAAATCTGTCCACAAATTTCATTTTTTTACCATCTCATTTGAATCTGTCGGCAGTCACAATGAACTGTAACTTATCAATGTAATTGTCGAAATGTTGCCAACCAGTCTAACGCATGATCTAGCTTCACATCACACCAGAGCTTGCTCTAAACTAGAGGCGATCATGAGGTTGCGTCTATGTCAAGACAACATTGCATTTACTACATTTAGGCTTTATTTTGCTGTGGATGTTAACCGGTCCTTTTCTCGCGCATTTTTCTTTTCTACTTTATCAAGATGTCATCCACCACGAGCCCTTCAATACGTCGATCCTCTTCGGTCATATCTGCCTTTTTTGACGCATCTACCATCAACAGCAACACTAGTGACAACTCGGGTCGTTCCTCTTCATCCATTTCCTCAGCCAGCGAGGCTGGGGAGGAGAGGAGCGTGTCTACCCCCGTGTTTTCCAATTCCCCCTCAGGAGGTTCTATAGAGGACGAGGGCCTGATGTCAGAGATCGGCTGTCGCTCTCCCAATTGGGACCCATTTGCGCTCTCCAGCTCCCAATCAAGTGACGCTGAGTCCAATTGCCCACGGCAGAATATGGATAAGGGCAACAATGTCCAGGTGATTATATCGAACGATAATGCCGTGGCTGTATCTCTTTATGATTACCGATAGATACGGTCTCACGTGGTGTGATGCGAGTTCGGTGGATGGTCAAGTCTTTTTACCTTATCGTTTGAACCTCACTATAACATTTACCATCTTATCCTTTATTTATCCGTTGCTTTTATTCTGTTTCGACTTGAACGCCACGTACCCTTTGCTCTCGAGCAAAAAGCGGATATTCCCAAGTTGATATGGATACGGTTGTTGTTTAACCTTTATTGTCGTAATACTTATTGTTTAGGATAACACGGTACGTTGTCGAATATTTTGATTTTGATTTGTTGTGCCTATTGAGTGGTGTGACTCAAAGATTAGGAAACAGGTATTGTTTACACTGACCTTCCTTGTTAAGAGCCTCATTCCGTGACGATGCTCGATGTTTTTAATCTGCCGAACTTACTGTTAACCAGTAGGTTGCGAAGTTATATGTCTCGTAAAACCAAACAAACGTAGGTGTCATTTCAGCTAATGATCATCTTTTTTTCGGGTTGCTAATAAATTCCCCTTTGTGAAATTGCGAGGATTTGCTGATGAACATTCAAGTGGTGTTTACGAGAGCTCCAATTTGGGAAACGTGACGTTGTGCTAGTTCTGTAGAACAGTAGGCAGGAGCTGCATTATAAATGCACCAAAAAATCACACCCAAGTTGTAGTAGGTACTACTGCTACCTCGCAGAGATGCAGAGTCTGGAGCAGTAGTGATGGAGCACAGCGCTCATTCATTTAACTAACTATCTTGTTTTTGGCAATCGCTTTCTTCCAGTCGGCCACTTATGATCAGTACTTAGTGCCATTTGTGCGATATCTGGGTAGCACCTCATAATACGCGGCAGTGATTCTGTCTCACTAGACCAGCTAAGTAAATTTCTAAGTGAATATCGGCCTCTACAGTCGTCTGTGTTGGCTCAACTCTTCTTGAAAGCGATGTCTGTTGCTCCATGTCGATTTGTGAGACCCTCTAGTTCTATTGGCTCATTGAGGTAGGACACGTTTTGGTTGCACTTGAATACCGGCCTATAGGCATGTTGAGTAGTCTGGAGCATCAGCTTCGTGAACAGCGCCATTTTAACCACTTTCGAATTCTCCCCCTTTCAATACTATAAAACTGCACCATGATAGGGGTTTCCTCTGTTATGCTTTCACACATGTACAACATGATTTTTCTCAACCTTCACTGGTGCGCAGGTAATTGAACCCTTGTTTAAACACTCCGTTTGTATCCGATACGCATTATCTGTCGGGAAGTTAGGCTTGCGTAATGCTTGCTTTTGCTTTGAATATCTTTTGCTACTTCTTCGGCTAAGACCTAATTTGTCTTAACGCCTGGACTCCTTGTAATAAGTACGACCCCGTTTTTGGTGTCTAATATGATATCTTTTATCTCACGCTGCAAGATTGGTGTGGTCTTCAGTCGTAGGACCGACTAAGTTTTCCTCATTGCCTTTCGTGCTCAATTAATTCTTTTGTTATTTGATGTCTGAGACTAAATTATCTCATTTAGCAATGCAATTCGAACTCTCTCTCTTTAACTTCACACTCTAATTCGTAACCCACTTGATGTATTTTGCCTGCTGCCTCATTTGATTCAAGCTAAGATCAAATAATAATTCCACTCTAACAGGCCTTTTTGTCCGAAACGGCAGTCACCGAACTCAAAGTAGTGCCGGACAGGGAACTATTTAATGATTTAAATTCCATAACTTAGGCTAGTATATCTAGTTTTCCAATGAGCGACAACAGCTTACAATGACCTGTGTAAATTTCATAGACTAATGAGGCATTATCTTTATTCTCCAGTTGATCACCCACTCTTTGTCGTACATGTAGCTCTCGCGACAGTGCTATAGTTGGTTCGACAGCCAATCCCTATTCTGGACTTTTTTTAGAGAATGTTTAATGTACACATGCTACTTGTGCTGTACTGTTGTACACATTATCACCATTAAACCACAGGAATGCATTGATTTGGTGGCATCACTCCTACACCAAATATCCACCTAGGCTTTGGTTCCAATCAGGTTCTTGTTTCAGTGCACTTCACGCTAATGGGCTTCAGAGGACCGCGCACTGCGCTTCACCGAGTAATCAAATTGTGCAGCTTATTAAAAGTTCGCTCAATGCTGGATTTAAATAACATGCGTTCACTTAACTCGGATTGGAATGTTCCTTCCTCCCTTCATTGTCAGTTTGTTGTCACCCATTTTGATAATTAGTTTAATTTGTTCTTCTCAAAGCGACTGTAAAATGGAGTGACCAAGTAACTTACCTAGTTAGCACTTTTGCTTTATTTTTCTTCGTAGCTCATTCTCATTAGTAGCCCAGTTTAGTTGGACGCATAGGTGTTAATAGCGTGCACTTCTCCACTTAGCCCAACGACGAGAAGGATAAACGCTTCGAGGAAAAAGTCAGCAATAGAGTGATTGACGTACCCTTTCGCGACTCTGGTGGAACTCCGACGCCTCCCGCCATTCCCAAGTCTGTCAACCTCCTGAATAAGGAGTCCGTCGAAGGCGGTTGCCTTGACACCGATCTTGCAGTCACTCCCACCTTAGAGAGCAGTACTCTGCCTTACGCATATCCCGGAGGCAAGCACTTCCACAACTTTGCCGGCACCACCTCCTCGACTGCATCTTCGTTCTACTCCTCTGTTTCTTCCTCATTGTCTACCAATGATGAGAGCATGATTCTGCCTTCAAATGCTTCCATCGCCACCAACTGGCTCCCAAAACAGGCTCCTCTTGCCTCTCAAGACGAATTTGTTGGTTTCGAAGACAGTGGAAGTCCAGGGAGTAGTAATACGATTAGAAAAGAGAAGCGTTACAAGCAAGCTGGCACTTCCCCATCTCCCAGTCACGTTGTTCATCCCTCGGGTGAGTCAATTAACATTTGATTTTGGTTTGTACTGTCTGTTTCAACAGCTCACACAAGTTTGTTTATTCCTATGAAGGGGTTGATTAGGTGACTACAACGAGCCATTGTCGAGTTTTGTCTGCACACACAAAACCAACATGCCAAGTTTATTTTGGAGTATTCTCTCCTAACAGACATCACCGCAAGCCCTAAACACTCTTTATAAGTGTCCAGTTTGCTTTCTGCGTTCTTGTGTTCCAATACATTAAATGCAGGTTCCTTTATTTCGTCCTAATGTTTGCTCGTTTCGCCATTTGCAGCAATGCTAGATACTGTTAGTACTCGCAGGCTAGTCTCTTCACTTCTAGTTTGCGTCGGTGTTGCGTTATTCCGTTTTTGAAATCTTTCGCATGTTTAGACAGTGTAAACCACATGATAATTTGGGGCCCGCATCAAGATAGCTGATCAGCTAAATTTGGTTGGTACAAGTAGGACTAGTTTTTAATTCTGTCAATCGGGCCTTCACCCCTGTGACATATTGGTTATGCCACTATTCTCGAGTTCTGCAACAAGGTGGTCGTAGACCCCAAAAGTTGTTACTTCTTGCCCTTAATTGTTGTTATACTGTCGGCTGATGAATATAAAGATGACTTAAAATAATGCAAGCGTTTGGGAACGTTTTTTTGCAGAATAACTAGTGCAAAGTGCACTTGGATTGTGTGACGTCCTTTCTATAAGGAGCGCATGCATGCCCGTCTGAGTAGGAACTAGAAACGTGTGTCCTTATTTCCCCTTCACGCTCATTTGGCCAGTGTTTGCGAGCACACAAACCACCGAAGATTGGGCACAACCTTTCATGTGACCCGTGTGGGGTCGACAGCATGGGCTACCGGCTCTCACTGATCATGATAGTCCTACCGGCTAGGCCAGAGCAGGTGCTGCATTCAATGACATTGGATCCATTCCCACACTTAGACACTAGGTGAATGGAGGTTCTTGGGTGGGAACGAACAGCTCCCATTGGACAAATAGCGGCCAGTCCCGTGACGAAGCAGCTTTAACAAACGGTTTCAAACATCCACAAAGGGGTCCCAGGTGGGAAAGTAACAGCCCAACTGCCCCAGTTTGAATTGAACATGAATGTGTTTAATGCTTGAACTAGGATTTGTGTGAAAGACGAGAGCATTACATACCTTGAAGTAATTTAGAGCAAGGAAATAATGAGACAATGTGGACGCTTTATTGCCACTTATGCCGGTAGTTTTGGGGCTTCAACATACTAGAAATGTAGAAAAGCATTCGGAACAAATTTTGTTGTATGATTTTTGAACTTGTACCTCACATCGAGAAATACCAACAGTGCGCAATAGTTGTGGTTAGTGAGGCTAAATGATTAAAATCAGTACATGTAAAAAATTATAACATTGGTTTGCGGTTTGCCGAAGAAAAAATTCGTTTCAACTTGACTGCGTTGGAAATGAGACGCTGACTGTTTTGGTTTTGTTTGGGTTCGAACCATTGAACGTTTTTGTAGGTTTTAGGCTAACTCCTCCGTTCACGTAAGTTCAGTGGCGTTCATTTGCCTTTTATACAGAAGTCATTTTCGCTCGAAGCACGTGGTCAATGTGTTTCTGGCTTCCCATCTACAAACGTCAGTGTTGCTTAGTGTTTTACGGCGTTTTACTAATAATAATTACTGAAAACGCAAACCATTTTGTGGATATCACGCCAAAACTATCTGTGTCCTTGTACCTATTTTACAAACAGGCTTGATCCCGTCATGGGCACTCCACCGTCCCTCCGGCCCCTCGATACACGTCGGCCCAAGTCAGATTTGTGAACCCTCGCAGCAGGTTGCTGATCTTCAGCCAATCGGAATCTTACGTGCCGGTGAAGCCTCCCTTGAATCGCATCTTCCTATATCAACAAGTCAACCTTTCCATGTTTCCCAATCGCCTCTGATACATCAGGAACCTGATTCTGTAAAAGATCAGCTTGACAGCTCCCCAGAAGACAACGAGGAAGAGTTTACTGAAAGTGACGATGAGGAAGACTCGATGAAACTGGATCTGGACGGCCTCTGGATGAGTACCAGCCAGCTTCTAGACCACGTGACCGAAATGGGAGCTAACGGGCTGGCCGAGGAATATGCGGCTGTTTGCAGTATCAAAAATACTGATCCATGCACCGCCTTTAAGTGAGTATTTAGGGCCTTTGAATGCCAACCATATGTCAGACTCGAAAAACGCACGAATTTACTTTACGGAAACAGTTATAACTAGGTAACACGCTTGTATTTCAAATTCTTTTGACGTGACGAAATGCAAATGGAAACTCGTCTGGCTGGACATATATTTTGCGTTTCAAACAAAAGCTATATCGGTTGTACCGAATCTTAAATTTCGTTTTTTGTTATGTTAACAAATATTGTGTCTGCTTGAGTTAATCTTGGTTTTGAGTACTTTAAATTGCTTCAAGGAATGTAATGTTATCGTTCATGAGTTGATGAAAATCATTGTCCTCTTTCACACAAATCTTACTTCAAGCTTTAAACATACCCATTTTTAATTCCAACTGGGGCAGTTGGGCTGCATTTTACACTGCTAATTGGGATAGGGAACGAGGTTGATTTTAGCACAGCAACAAAATTTCATATTCAGCCACCCGGTAACGACGAAGCTGAGGTTGAAATATTCATTTTTAATGTCAGGCTTGATTGATACCTTGTTTTGTTGACGTTGGGCTTCTGGAGGACGTTCGCCCCATCCACAGGTGCCCTCTTCTTTTTGCACCACGTGACCAAGTTTTCTGGTAGAAAGTCATAAGTGTTCTGCCTTATGCTCTTACGAATGCTTTCACCTTGATTGATGGCACCTTCGCTTGTAGTGTCGTGCTTGTGACTTAACGTGCTATGTTGTGGTACGTTGTTTGTAGTCTCCTTAAATCATCCGTTAATGCGTCGTAAAATCGCATAGCCTCAAAAGCAGTACAAATTGGACCTTTCAATTTACTTACTTCATTTCATGTTTTCGTTCTCCCTAACTGTAAAAAACCGTTGGAATTTCGAAGCACAGTCAATTGCTAGGGTACTTCAACTATCTTATAGCATCATCATTGGTGAACCAGTTTACGAGGACATCCCGTACTACGTAAAGAAATGTAGAAGGACGCGTTTGCATTGTTTCAGTAACCCCATCTCTCCTCACTCACACCTCGATCTCCACAAGCACGCTGTCAGAAGGTTCACTGATGTCAAGTCAGGCTTATCGAAGCAGGTGCTTTGTTATCTGCAATATGCGACAGAAAATTAGCGAAGCCTGATCGACACGTAGGGCAGTAGAAATTCCAGCAAATCCGCCACCTCGTGACCGTTAATGCTTGTTGTCGTAGGTAGCAAGTCTTGAGACCTACGCCAACGTGGACTTCCAATTCTACAATAACTGCTCTCTCTGTGCATTCTTATTTTTATTGTCAATGAGAACTCGAATGTAAATCACTTCCAAATTCAATTTTAAAAGCTGATTTGAGCGTAAATTAAGAAGCTTTCATTGGTTCAGATAACGGCCTCTGGTGATTGTTTTGTGGTGCTGCGCTAGTCTGTTTCCACCCCAATGCGCGACGTACCTCCTCTTATCGAAAAGCCCCCTTTAAACCATGGATTTTAATTCATTTATCTCAGTCCCATCGTAGCCACTTTGCTCTTGTATTATGGTGGCTAAGTTAACAGTGATGCATTCGTATCTGACCTTCTTTGAATATTTACATTGCCACGTTGCACCTTCTGGGAATTATCAAGTGTTTTTTTTCCAAGCACACCGAAGCTGGAGCTTTATTATTGATATAGGTCGTTTGTTATGTAACCTATCCTGTCTGCATCCACCACACATTGACCGTTTATTGCAAATGGAATCATGAAACTAGAAATAGTTCTGAAGGGCATTCATTGTCCATTTTGCTGCAATGCTATAATGCTAAAACCCTGAAAAGTCTATTCAACATGTTCAACGCTGAACTGCTGTTAAGCAATTAAAGACGATCATCTACAAAACAGATAGGCTAAGTTTGGGTCCCAGGAATGGTGCGATCCACTTGTATGTGGAACCCGATTTACGACTTCTTATCACACCTGTAATTTCGTTTTCATCTGGTCGTCGGGTGCTTTTTGCGGGTAGACAAAGTATTCCAGCTCGCTGCCAAATCATTTCCTTCGTTTTGAACTATATTCTTTGAAGAATATTTTTGTTAGAATGCAGATTATAATAAACTGAAGCAGTTGCCGCCTTACATCGCATAAGGTTTCTAACGGTTTCTTTTTATTAAATGACCAAAAATCTCATTGTTACTTTCCGGTCACAGTCGAGGACCAACGCCAGCTGACCGATAAAGAATCACCCAACTGTCTGTGGTCGGCTGTTCAGGCACTTTAATTTCTTCAGGAATAGGCAAACAACAGCAAGCCAGTAAAAAGGCCTTGTCTGTGCGGTTTTTCAAATATGCAGGTTATACGTGGGCCGTTTTTGTATGGCGGCTTCGCTCCAACGATGACCCTTTAATTCCAGGTAGATTTTTCACCTGGTTGGGCGGTGGGTTTTAGAAATAAATAACTCAAGCCACCTTTAGGTGCTAATTGAATCCACTGGTAGCAACTATGGTCCCACTGCCCTTCGTATTTTGTGAAACCTGAAATTTAAAACCTTCAACCGTCTGTTTTTGGCTGACAGTTAGTGAGTTTGTTCGTGTAGATGTTTGATAATCTATTATAAAATGTGGCTTTATTTTTCTTAAGGCCTTATAATGTGACATTTTTTTGAGCGACTGGATTTTTTATAACAGTTTTTTTGCACCAACATGACTTAGTTACTTCTGTTTAAGCAACAAGTTAAAAATATCCCTACTAACTGTAGCGTTTTCGGTGTTTTTTCCATAAATTGCTTACTATGATACTATTTATTCTCATGATTTTTTGTGCGTTTTCTTTCCTAACAGATACTAAGATATTTGTTGGAATCGAGCTGCATGAAAGTGATTTATTTTTGTATGCGTCATATTGATGCAATTGTTTTTCGTTGCAGTCTTCCTGATCGACCTTCTGCCAAATGGGATTCATGTGTTTAGTGCCAAGTTTTACCAATCCGAATGAAGCATATCGCCAAACCCTGATCTAGGTGGTATTATATGTCCCGGTGCCTTGTAAATTTTCCAAGTCGTTGTGATCTCATTAGTATTGCCCCGTGATTGATGATACGTCAGGTTTTTGTCGATTCTAAAAGTGTGAATTAGAAACAAACTTGGTTCGTGTTTCAATTGTGAGACAAATTTGTGAAGGCCGAGCTTTAGGGTATGACATCACATCAAGCTGTCAGACTTATGCGCAAGACATTTTCATTCTACAATTTAGGTAAAAATCTGAAATTCCTCTTAAATCTGTCTTTGCGAGAAGTTTGCTGGTCGTTTGCTCAAATATGTAATTCGTCATAAATGCGATCTAAGCATCTGCCATGATGGGTTGGCTGTTTTCCCTTTCGTTAAGTCCCTACGGTGTGTGTATACTTTTGTGGTTCTGAAGATGTAATAAGTGTGAAAAATTTAAAAAAAAAACTAAATTAGTTCCTTTAAAAATGCTTTCCAGACGGCCGTGTAATTCGTCAAAAAATCGCTACGTCGACGTTACCTGCCTAGAGCACAGTCGAGTCCAATTGCGACCACACCAACGTCCTCCTCAGTCTCCCTTTTCCGCCTCAACTAGTGAAAAAGACTCTAAAACACAAAAGCAATCTCCTGTCTACATCCACGCCAACTGGGTTGACAGTTATCGACAGAAGAACGCTTTTATTTGCACCCAGGGTAAGTTATTCTGTAAGTGTCCGCGTCTTTTTTCTAGAGACAGTTGATGCTCTTTTAGTCGCGTGATGTGCCGGCTTTTGTAGTCACGTCTCATTGTGTGTAATAAGCTGGTAATCCAGTCGTCCTATTGCTAACTGCTGGCTCCTGGTGCCTTACTTGTTGGCTATCGGTCAAAAGCAAAGAATTTTTGGCTCTCTTGTCTGAAAAGTACTGTGTTTTACTATCAGGACGTTGCACAATTTACAATCGCAATTCATGTGATGTCTATTTTTTTATCTGATGTCAGTTCCCCCAGTCTAAAATATACCTTTTTGCGATTTTATGCTGCAGACGGAGTCAGCGTTTTGGTGTTCAGATAAAACCTTGTTTCGGTTGCATTGTCATTTATTCAATCTGCCACACTGTCGCCGATGCCCAACAGGCCAACTGAAACGAGGTGTTTCTGGGGAGAATGAATCACCTCTCTGTCTTCTTTTTGGGCGAAAATTGCTTGCTTGTGTGCACCTCAACATCAATGCACAGTCTATCAACACGTCTAATGTACTCGAACGCTTTCTTCAAAGACCTACGACTTGTTGATGCCGTTTTTATCCATCACGCAATGGTTGCTTGAAAGCCTCTTGTTCACTAATTGACAAAGGGGTTTGTTGCCAAGTTTTTCTCCAATGTGCGGGTCTGGTTTGCGGTGTCTGTCTCCTACTCCTCAGCCCTTGAGGGCTTTATGAAGGAGCTATGCAGAAAATGGGGGTCACTTTTTGTCGGTGACTGTTCTGTGGTCGCTGTGCTTGATGATACCCTCACTTTCACGCGGATGGCAGCCTCGGCGAATTTGAATGCTCTAGGTCACCCATTTGGGTTCTGATACACTGAAACCGTTATCGCATCAAGCGAATTATCGTGTGCGATGTAACTTTTTGCGTGTTATATCACCAGCGCCAAACAATATGAACATTGTCTTGCGCGAACCCGTCGACTCTGTAACACCAACAAATCCCCATTCATGTCCACAAGTCGAATTTTTTGTCTTTGTGCTGCAACTGTTAGCAGCACGCTGCATTAAATTTTCATTTTCACGCGCTTATTCACGTAGCTTAGTGCCTATGCAAATCTTGATCGTCTGAAACACTGACGCAATTATTGTTTGCATTTTAGGCCCTCTTCAGGAAACAGCTGGCGATTTCTGGTATATGATTTGGACTTACAACGCGCCCGCGGTGGTAATGATTACTCGGTAAACGTGCACTTTAACTATAGCCTTCTTCGCTTGGTAGTGGGACTACTTTTTGTATATTGTAATTTACCTTAGTATGTATGAAAATCCTCGGAGTGGACGAGTCCTGTTATAGTTAAATGCTTTACTTGGTTACATTTGGTTTCATAACAACTGCCTTTGACAGTTCTCTCGGTTTCAGGTCATTTTGTTGCACTCGACTTGTCATCATAAGAAGAATTGATGGGAAGTCAACAACTCACATTTAACTCTTCCTTTACCGATCAAAGGTTCTGTATATTTTTGGGCATGCGCTAATTCTGTTTAATTCGGAGATGGTTTCAATCTATAACATAAGCTACAACTAAAAGTCATGCGTACTTACGATTTTCCGGTTTCATTGATGTATATTAATTTGGCTAATACTCTATGGCTGAGGTTTCGAATTGTCTAAGTATTGTGTCTGCAAAAATTAATTTTAATGATTTCGAGGGATTAATTATTCCGACTGCGTTAATGACGAGGCACCTTCTCTTTAAGTTAACCATGGCGTCATCACGACAGTCAACACCGCCACCGTTGAAGTCAACTCTGACCCGGTTACAACTCAGCTTATTTCCTTTTGACCTCTCTCTCTAAAGGAGTTGCAGAACCCCGCATAAATACCTGACTTTTAGATTCTTTTATTCGGTTTCCTAGTTCGTCATCTAAACCAACATGCGTAAAACTGTTTTTCCGTTAAACGCAATTAACTACGAGTTCTTCGCGCCCTCGTGGTTGCACTCGTGCGCTCACATCAAAAGGTCATTTGGTGTGTTGGATTTTTTTCCACTGTCTCGTCCACCTTGAAACGTTTTGCCTGTTTGACCCGAGAAGAGCAAACTTTATGCCCGACTTCGCACCCGAGACCACGTCTCCCACCCAGGGATGAGTCACCGAGGTCGGAATGCCATTTCCCAGTGCAGAGCAAGTGCGCTGCCGCGCCCCCAGCCTTGTGTCACGCTACTTTAACTCCTCACAACACCACTTGGTTTTCGTCTAATTGAAATCGTGAGGGGTGTGCTACGTGGGTTTTTTCCCCCGATACCTCCTTCTTGGTGGTCTCCCACAAGCGCTGCAAGTGTTTCCGTGTTTTTTTTATGCAGTCGACCTTACACACTTCTCTTCTTTTCAATTATCGATTTACGTGTGGGTGGATCGGCTGAATGCGGCGCGTGGGTTGTTAAGCCATGCCGCCGACATTCCTTGTGTTTAGCTACCCGTGGTTACAATCTTTAAAACCCGAAAGTATTTTTTGTTGGCTTACATTAACGTCATTGCTCGCATATCAACCCCTGGTTATTCATTATCAAGATCACCGTCCGATGCTAGTTGTTCCAGAGATTAACCGGTGTCAGTGCTTGTACTTTTGAAAAAAAAAGCATAAATATAAGATCTAGATTGATAGTTACTCGCATCGGCTGACTGCAATCGTCAGATTGAAGTTTTCGTGTTTCGAAAACACCAAAAGATGTTCTGTTTACCGCGTGTATGTGTCGTTCGTGGTGACTGGTCCATTTGTTTTCAGTGGCCCTTTGGCGGGCCGCAAACAAACTGGCTTTCTGTCGCCTACACTAGCCTTTCAAAGGAAGGCATTTGTCTGGTTTTGTGTCAGTTTTATGAGACACTGTTGGTCTAAATGAGTTTATCACCCCCTGTTTTTGGTGTTGTGCGTTGAAGGGATGCCGTCAGTGTGGCTTTGGATCTAGTGCAGTAGCCTTTTTTTCGCCAGCCGTATTCTCGAAGCAGAGCGATTAGACCCCAAGAGAACAAGCCTATCAGGATCGACCAAAACCACCACTAATTGTTTTCTCACAGGTGTTACGAGTCGCAGCGGTGCAAGTGCTTCCAATACTGGCCTCCAGTTGAGGGTCAGACGTTGCATTTTACTTCAATCTCCTCAAGTGCAAACTCTGTGGTGGCCGTACCAATGGCCAGTGGCAGTGGGGTCGGTGATAGTGGTGTCGGGACAATGACTTCTGTTAGGAAGAAGCCCCTCTTCGCTCTTGCACGGCGCTCCGCCAGTGAGGTGAGCAATTCGAACAAACTCGTCTTCGAGTTGGTGCATGTCAGCTCGCAGCCCGGCGATGACTACACGCACACCAAGCTGCAGTTGAAGAACCTCAAGGTGAGGTCCTGTCCTTTTCTCCATATGACCCCCATGTGTGCATTCCGACTCCAGTAGATCTCGATTCGGCATCTAATGTCCCTTCTAATTGGTTTTTCGCAATGGAGCCACTTCTAGTTAAATATGTCATGCTGATAGGTGTGTGATAATAAAAATGTCTGGTCCGACTTGTTCTCTCGCTTGCTAATCTTTCCGTGGTATATTGTGCTAACGGTTCGCTCTTCTGTTTTTTGACTTTTGTAGTCAGGTCAGAGTCGTATTGTCGATCACTACGCATTTCATTCCTGGCCAGATCACGGTGTGCCTTCCGATAGCTCAGCGCTACTCGAATTACTTAGCAGCGTGCAAACAAATTACGCCGCAACTCTCCACCGCGAACTCAACTACACCACCCTCTACGATACTCCCATTGCCCCTCCACCAATCGTGGTACACTGTAGTGCCGGCATTGGGCGAACGGGTAAATTACCTACTACTTTGTAACCATCGGTAGACGAATGTTTGATCTGGTTGACGCGTCTTTTGTCAGTTAGGAACTACCCAGACTCTTATGATGTCGTTTTTATTGTTTCTTACGTTGAAGTTAAATTATTTAGCTCACCTGCCACTTACGTGTAAAGCGCCCTTGACATGGTAACATGCTATTCTGGGCATAAGATATTTACTAATCAAATAGAAATGTAACGTAAAGTTTTCATTTACCCGGATCATTTTCAATCCGTCTTCACTTCTATTACAAAGGGTGTTGTTAAATAATAAGCATGGTTGTTACACAAATCTGAAGATAGAAACAGTTCCGTAGTGAGTTGCGGCTTTTATTTTGTCTGTGCTTGGCCATAAAAAAGGACGGAAAAACCTAAGACAAAATTGTTGATGACTAAGGGCAACATATTCTGGACTTACCAAAATACGTATTTGTATATGGTCACCAATAAGGGCGACGGTAAAAATTTTTCGAAATTACGAAGTAGGCATAATAGTACAGAAAACCGTTTAAACCGATCCACGGGCGTGTTGTAGGCCCCAGCATGTGGTCTTTAACCACACCAGGGTCATTGAATTAACCCTGGTCCGATTACGCTTCTTTGATACCCGCGATGGAGAAAAAAGACCGGAGAGGATGTGGACACAACCGTTTACTTCAGAGCCCAACCACGTTGGTGTCGTTGTATCGTGTGTGGGGTTTGCGCGTGTGTATTTATACCTCAGATGCGTGAGTCGTAAATGCGCCAGCATCGAGACCTAGGTGTGAGGATAATCCAAGGTAAATATTCGTGCGAATGAGAGGGAATTTGAGAATCCGTGTGGCTGGCGACATGCTACGAAAAGGCGAACCCTGTGTTTGTGGATGGAGCTACCGGATTAAGAAGTGTGTGAATAAACATGATTAACAGCAGGCGTTTGTAGTTTTTTTGCACCCCACTAGGCTTCTGCTTCGGGGGAAATCCATCTACTGCAGCCCTTTCTGATTGCTCATTATGCGTGGTGTTGCTTTGGTTGAATGGGTTCTTTTCTACCTGTGTTTTGTGTCGTTATTTCTGGACAGGCTCGCAGTTGCATTGCTGTGGTTAGCTTTAAATTCTTCTGTACATCGTCTCATTGCAGCAAGCGAAGGTCTTTTGTTCGGTAAATGTCATAGGTTGACTTCTAATTGGTTGTGTTTTTCTTATTCCCTCGACTATGATCAAAGGCACTTTCATTGCTCTCGATGTCAGTACTAAGCAGTTGCTCGAACTCGGCGTTGTCAATGTCCCCCTGACAGTGGCGCGAATCCGTTCGCAGCGTTCAGGTTGCGTCCAAGTCTCGGCTCAGTACATTTTTGTGTACCGTGCACTCATTGACTTCGCCGTGGCCAGAGGCCTCGTGTCCCCGAGCCACGAAGACGCCGTGGAAACCGCACTTTCTCAGCTCACCTCACCGCCTCGCCCACCAATGTTTCTGCCAATGGACGCCAGTCTGATGTCCGCTCTTGCCGCTGGCGGGGTTGGCGATACTGCGCACTTCAGCACCTTGATGCGGTTCCTTCGTGACAAAATGACTGGCTCCACGTGAGTTTTAAGCGCCGTCTACTCGAATTTACTTGTTTGCAGTGATGCTGTGGCACCTGACCTCGTGATTGTATTTTTTTGCTATTGTCAAGTGTTATCATAGCCAGTGGGATTCTGGGGGAGGGAAGCGCAAGTAAACAAATGTGGTTCACTTTACCAGTACCACATAGATACACACGACTTAAACGTGAAGTCGAACAGTGAGATTGTCTCTTCTGTAACATGCATTTCTATTTGGAAATTAAACAATGTGAGTAGATAGGCGTAAGGTAGAAAACGGGTTTACGGGGGGCAAATTCTTAATAGCAATTTTGTGTACAGCCAAGGCTATTAATCTAAGCATCTAGTCACTGAGTATTGTCATACTTGGCGCGTAACATTGACGATTGCTGCGATGCGATTTTTTAAGAGTGTTACGCCACCCAAAGTTGAATGCGGCATTACCCTGTTTTCAGCGCTAAATGTAGTGGAGGTGATGTCGAAGCCCCAGTCGCGCAGCAGCTCGTTTGCTGTCGCGCACCAAACGAGCCCAATCGCGAGGCTGACGGAGACCGCCAGGCGACAGAGGTAGCCGAAGCAGTAGAACCAAAGATTGAGGAAAGTCTCCCAGACAATTCCAAATCTCCACCAACGTCAGGCGAGCGGCCGGTTGTACAACTGGAGTAGTCGACTCGATTTTAACAGATGTGCTTTTATTAGAGTGTACATAAATATTTGACAGGACTCCTGGTACGACCTTCTCCCTCCCATCCTAATCCCAAACATTTGGTTTCTCTTGCTGTTTTATCCCCTCCTGTTTCCACGCTGGGAACACCGTTAGATTTGGATTCATAACTGCCCACATTATTCACATACACGTTGGTGCTTCCCCTTTAGAGCAGGTTGGTGTACCGTTGAGAGCCTTAGGCGATATCTGACATTAACGAGTTGTTTAGCTTTAGAGACGGTACAATGCGTTTTTATTAATGTTTGGTTTTGTGCAGTCGCTTCGTCCACCCAAACATTTATCCCCCGTTTTTCATGTGTGGATGTCTCTGCTGTAGGAGTTGTGGGGTAGGATCGTGTCTTGTGGTTTCGGTGAATTGCCCTTCAATATCGTCAATATTGCTGCTTTTTAGTCGCCTAAAACGCACAACTGCTGGTAATAATTGTGTAATCAGTTGTTCCACATGAGTAGTGTATAGGTTTTAAAGCTGTTTTGATCCAATGCTGAGGACTGTGACGACTCTGAATCGGCGCCTTCATTTTTACTCTATGAAGGATAGGAAGTTGTCGCTTTTCGTTCCTCATCAATGCGCCTGTGTAATGCAATGGAAGGATGTGTAAATAACACAACCACACATATACGCATGACTCGAAGAACGCCTAAAGCAATCCGTAACAGTGAATTTATATTGCGGTTATCCTAAACAAGGAATATTTCACTACAGTAAATAGTGTAAACAGTAAATGAACGCAACATGTGAAGTCGTTTACTGCTGGTGCAGAGCTTGAGTAGTTTCGTAAACCAAGGGGGTATGCAATAACAAGACGATAAGTGTTACAGGACGCGATTTCCTAATGAATTGGGGCTAATTTGTGAAGGCCACCAGCTGTTTCCTTCGAAGCTGTGTAATTTGAGACTTGCCTTCCAATGAGTCGCCAATATCCCAATCCAACAGCAGAGGGTAAAAAGCCAATGAATACCCCATTGGAGGAGTTGATTGCTTTCTCTGAAGTGAGGCACTGCAGATCCTTGACTATGCTCCCGTAAACTAAGTATTGACCTTCGTCAAATTTCACTCGGACGCAACTGTTCATTACATCAGTAATTACTGATTTAGTTGGTTATGGCGGGGCAGACGGTTTTTGCAATCGAAACGGTTTATTTACACCAAAGAATGGCAAACTTTTGCGTGCGTGATTGTTTTCCTAAAACAAAACTGTAACAGCCTGATGTGTTTTTAACTATTCATACAAGATAGGTATTTTTAGCAAAAGATTATTCCTATCAGTATTAACTTTCGCAATTGACGCTGTCCCTTGACAATAAGAAATTAAATTTCCTAGTTAAGCCTACATTTCAAGTTAGAGCAAATTGCTTTTCAATGACCAGAAACTCGAAAAGACAAGACCTCATAATCAACCTGGCTTATGCCCTGTTTAGTGCGATTTAAGGTGTTTTTAAAAAACTGTGGTGAAATTTCTCGCACAATGTCGTTTACGTTCCGTGTCTGGTTTGCCTCAATATGCCGTGACGCAGTAATGTGCAGATTCCTCTATTGCAAAATTTCACGTTCTATTTGTTCTGACAGCAATGCTCTTCAGCAGTTCGTGCTTCTTCCCTTTTTGCTTGACATCAACTTGCCAAATGGGTGGCTTATTTGTGCTGGTGCATTTTCTTTTGTATGTCCTTGCGACTAGTCCTAATCGATTAACTCACCAATTTTGAGTTTGTGATGCATGGTACTTCTATGCTCATTCACTTCTTTGTCTAATCCCGTTGTAATCTAAACGCAACTGTTTGCTCACAAGTGCTAAAAAATACCCTTTAAACGAATAAACGATGACGTAGATGCTAGAAACTATCGTAGAATCTATCATTTTATTTCTTATAGAGGATCTAGCTTTACAACGTGTGCTACGATACCCTTCCACTCACACCAGTGTTTTAAAGGCATTAAAATTCCTTAACACTTCTGGCATATTAATTGGAGTCCTACATTTTAAATATTGTCAAGAATGTCGAAACAGTCGCATGATTAGGAATGCACATTTGAGATATGTCAACGTAATTTTATTGATTAGTAAACTACAATAGTGAACGCAACTTTTTATTCGCGAAGGCATTTTTTTCAGGCCTTCGCTGTTTCGATTGTTCATTAATAACCGCAGAAAAGATAAGAATGGGATGCGGGGTACAGAGAGTCTACAAAAGGATGCAAACAGTAGAATAACAGCGGGACTGTTAAAGGGAGAAGGGGGCTGGCCTCGCTACTGGTGAACGAAGGAAACGGCGCTCCGACTTATAAGGTGAAATTTTGACACTGATAAACTTGTCTCATTTCCTCAATTTCGAAATGGTACAACCTCACGAAAGGCTGGGGAAATAGGCTTCTCCTTTCAGTAGTTTTCAGAATTAGTTTACGAAATACACAAATATCAATGCTAAATCCAGCTTTTTACAAATGGAAAACGAAATGAAGGAACGGGGTGGCAAAAAGTACATGTGTTGATGCTTGTAGGGTAACACTGACAGGCTGTTTTAAAAGATCATCTATCGGTGTCTTTGTGAGACTGTAGGTTGGTTTTATAAATGGATAAATGCTGATTTAGGAGTTCAAAACAGTACTGAACACGCTGATATTAATAATTCTCTATCCTAATTAAGAGAAATGACAGACGAGGAGGCAACTCAGAGGTAAACCGCGACGTTTCCTGCATCGACTCAGAGTTTATTTGTAGGGGTCACTTACGGTAACAGGAACTAAAATAGAAAATGCGCAATAAGGTATAAATGCCTATAAATAAGCACTTGTAATGTATTTCGACAGGATTTTGTAGCGAATTTACAAAAACTTCGTGCAATGCAAGGATCCCAAAACCGTGAGTGCTATGGTTGAATCGCAACGCTTCACCTTAAAATGACCCCCCGAGTAGAAACACTCAGCATCGGGCCCTTTGATGCCCAATTCATTTAACGTGGGTCCCAACGTTTGTTATTTTTTTCCTCAATTAGTAAACACTGACAAAGTTTACTTAAGTTTACTAGACGGCTGCTCAATTACCTAATTATTCAACATGGTTTGCTTTCTCACATTTAAGCAAACCAAATAAAAATGTGCCATCGGAGTTCACAATAAGTTTTGAAATTACCTATCTTTGAATATTTTGTAGCGCCATGATACTTTGTTATTGCACAAGTCATATTGGAAAGTTAAATGGCTGTAAATTCAATCTACTATTACACCAGCACGACAGAGACTGCCGATCGTTTCCAAAATATTCATTATGACAAAGCAATTTAAGTACGAATTGTCCTAAATTTTCGATATTCAAGCAGAAAAGGATCTCATTTTAACATTTGCTGAAGTAGAACTCCAAAAGAACTATACTTGTTTCTACTTACAAAGAACGTCTTCTTGATAGAAGTTAGATAGGCATATTTTAAAAATCACTGCTGGAATCGGACTACAAGCGTAGAATCACAAACATACCATCAGTGAATTTCCGGGCAATGAGTTTGAGTATCTCGTCTATAAATATGACTGGCAGTGAAAACTCGATTACGACTATCCACTCTTCGAAAGACAGTGGAGTCAGTTGGAAGACGTTCTAAAAACAAAAGAGAATTTATTAAGTATATCCTCACAAGCATTCAGTGTTTTAGTGTCCTTATGACGTCTAAGTGGACCTATTTTGAACCACGGATGCACAAAAGAAGAAATATCACTGAAGGTTCCTAAGTAATGTGCTTGAACTTACAGCAAGGAAGTCAACCTCGAGAATGATGAAATGAAGGCCAATGCTCATGATCATAGCACCGAGGAGCCAGTAATTGGTCCAAGGAGGCATCACGAGTAGAGACTGATTCTCAGATAAACTAAACAATGTAAAACTGTTAATAGCACGAAAAATTACACACGGAAACTCATATACAGTGGCGAAAGGGGTAGAAAGAGCTGAGGTGAGACTAGAGTGATGTTTGGCTCACGTAGATGCTACTGAATTTTCTATTTGTGGCCGTATTTCTTTTAATTTTGAAACACCTCAACAAATTGTTATCACCATGCTTTGATTTGCACGTTTACCCGATGCATGTTCTCGGAATTCGCAGTAATTTGGATTCGACCTCAGAGATTTAAGTTTTACGAATCAAATCTACAATAGGGATGCCCCGGAGCCCGCCAATTGAAAATTATGGCAATTTCGAGGTTTTGAATTCCATCGTCTTCTGCCTAAACTTGAGCTCTAGTTAAATGTGGCTTAATTGGATACTGTTTGCAAAAGATTATCAGGAACCCCATCTAAGTTATTTTTGCGTGATCCAGCCTCACTTGTAAATTCCCAGGAAATTAGTTTACCTTCTGGATATTGTTAGCAGTGTGCAAGCGGATGTTGAGAATTTGACAACTGGAATAAAATGTTGTCTTAACAGCTAACTTGTCAATTTGGCTCTTAAATACTATTAAAATCAGCCAGAATCTGGCCTTTCCATAGCTAATTCTAGAAATTAAATTGATGTAATAATCAAGCACAATCTTGAAGACAGTGTCGGGGGTGGGGATTCGTGTGTCCGTTCAATTTATAGCTGATATTAGTACAACGCAAACCTGTAAGAAGACCAATCATTTCAGCGCAAAGTGACTCTACTGCAGCTTTTATGTTAAGACCTCACTTAGAGATGATGCCATAGTTAGGAAATCAAGTTTCTTGCAGGTTAACCAAAAGCCGTTTCAAAATGCAACACATGTAGAATGGTCAACAAGCATTGGAGAAACACCAATTATCTGAGACCACATTAACAATGTGCGGGATCCGAGTCTGTTAGACAAAATAAACACTTTACTTTTAAGGAACTTTTTTGAACTCTTCATTTGTTGGCTAATTTAATGGGGATACGATTGATAATGCTTAAGTAAAAAGTATAATGGAAGTTAAATAGGAGTAAAACCACCAAATGTTTGCACAAAACAGATATCAGCATCCACGTCTCTAGTAAGTGCTACCACTTTGGTTTACACGAAGCAGAGGATGTGATTCAAGATCCTGAGAGGTTTTGACAGAACCTGGAGCGTGATAGCACTGCGGTAAACCTTTAATGGCTGCTGATACTCCAACCACTTTCTGTTGTATGTTAATTTTGTTCAAGTAATTATACCTTAGAAATGTGTTAAAATTGGTGAACTTGAGAATGGGAGGAGTTGTCGCTTTACGGTTGAGCCAACATGGGGTAAGAAGTAGAGTGAAGAGGGGATGCAAGCAGTAAATGGGCAGCAAGTGGTATCAGGATGTGCACATGCTAAACCACACCGGTCAGAGTAGGCCGCCACCTAAGCAAATTCTTATTTTTTCCCAAAATCGTCATCGGTGCTGTTTGGCAGGAAGTCTGCTTTTGTAGTAACTACATCTCTCCACACATTTACAGTCAACCAAAGGGGCTTTTCTTGATAACTAATTGCTTCAACATGACATCGCTAGTTTTGTTGCTTGGGTGGCAGCCTCATGAAACAGTGGCAGTTTAGCAAGTTTTTGCAAAGGGCTCCACTAGGTAATGTCGCTTAGATATTTTTGCGTCCAGTTAAAAGCCTCCTAAAAGCGCTATATGGTTTTGGGACGTTGAGGGCCACCAAATTTATGTGCACGAGAGAAGGTGAAATCTAATAGATGGCTACACTACCTTAGGAGCCCCTTGGTTCACTGGAAATATGAAAGAGAAAGGGGGGAGGGATGTGTGTGCGAAACCAGCCTTCCTGCCAAATGTGCGTGCAAGCCACGTTCCAGTTCGTGTCACGCACGCACAGTATCGATCATCGGTCAAACAGATTCGCGTGAATACACCTGTCAGATTTTCTGTGTGCTTGCGCGAGTGAACTGGATACCAATGATCGATTTTGGGGGAGGCTGAGGCAGCGACCTACTCACCTGTTCATTGCGTTGAGCATTTCTACGACCACAAGAACGGAAAGCGCCATAGTCATAGGCTTGGGATGTGCGAAGATTGAACAGTCGATGCCCTTGAAGCGACTCTCTTGAGCCAAACATTGGGATTGGTGGGTCTATTTACAAATACAAAGCCAGACACAAAGGTGAGAACATGCTTGGGGAAAGGAGGTTACCTGTTCATGGCATTGAGCATTTCCACAAGGACCAGAACAGACAGAGCCATAGTCATGGGTTTTGGATTCTCGAAGATTCGGCAATCGATACCGTGGAAATTGTCATGCTCTGCCAGGCATTGCATGTGATGTGTCTACATGGGGTGATCGTGGCAATTAAAAAGGAATTATGTTTAAAATATTATCTAACAGTAACTTAGGAGTAGTTGCTGTTTAAACAAATTTGATTGACTATTGATACCCGTTTAACTGCTAATACTCAATAATGAATATTATCAGAGATTTTGCGAGTTGTAAATGGATTTTAAAATAATAAAAAACTTTTTTTCCCATAACCATGACGAATTAAACTTACATTTCCTTTCATAGATGATTGGTTAAGGATACGGTAGTCACGCCAAGTTGGTACCCTAATAAATGAGTCCTTTGTCCCTACTTTTTTTCTTTTTCTGTAGACACCTTAATGTGTTGGTTTAGAAAATTTTTAAAAAAACAATTATTGATGGTGCAGGAATGCAAACCCACAAGCTGGTAGTAGTTAAGCTGGGGTCCCTTGTCATAGATCAGAAACCACCAGGCAGCCGAGCCGACCGTCGCGCACCCGACGTAGCCGCCGATGGTGAGGTAGCGGAAGAAGAGCCACCCAGAAATGAGGGGGTCGGAGGTGCTTCGTGGTGGTCGGGTCATGATGTCAAGGTCTGGGGGGTTGAAACCCAAGGCCGTGGCTGGGAAACCGTCGGTGACGAGGTTAACCCACAGCAACTGCACTGGAATCAACGCCTCAGGTAGTCCAAGAGCGGCGGTCAGAAAGATGCTCACAACTAAAGGTGAACAACAACAGTCTGGTGATTGATACAAACCTTAGTTTTATCACGACCCAACAAAGGTCTACTTAATAAAACTACCCACCTACCTACCCATAGGTTTTGAGTTACAATTCATTTTTCCAAATATTTTATGTTTGACCACTTTTGCTCACTTGTGAAGTCATAAAAAGGTAGTAATGGGCATTCTAATGGTGAAAGCATTATGAAATTATTAAAGTTAATTCAGTTGGTTGGAACTAAAAATACTTCATTAAATTCATTTTCAAGAACAATTTTTGTGCTATCAGACAACCGATGGTAATGTACCTAATAATACTCATTGCGTAAAAAGTAAACTAACAAAATCAGACTGCTCAGAATACAAATATTTTCCGCTAGTTCAGTGAGATTAAGAAGGGGTTAGTTCACATTTCAGCCCGACTGCCCTAGGACAACGAGAAAGTTCAACCCTTATCTCGTAGGGCTCCCATGGGCTAACGAAGGCGTCTTGGTAACACTTACGCACAAACCTGGGTTTCTCTTTTTACCTATTAACTCCATTTACGAATGGCTCGTGAAACTCTAAATCAACAAAAACATGAAATCGGAAAAGCAGCCAGGTATAGAAAATTTCATAATGATGGATTCCGTTCGTAATTACATGTTATGTCTTTATTACGGTAAAGCTCTTGTCACAAACAATAAAACTTTGATGAAAAAACTGCTTGTCCTACCTTCGCCAACATTTGAAGAAATAAGGTATCGGATAAACTGTTTCATGTTGCTGTAAATGGCACGCCCTTCCTCGACTGCAGCGACAATGGTCGAAAAGTTATCATCAGCAAGAACCATCTCAGATGCGGATTTGGCTACAGCTGTTCCGCTGCCCATGGCAATGCCAATTTCGGCTTTCTTCAGAGCAGGTGCATCGTTCACACCATCACCAGTCTAAAAGGAAGAAATTTTCTAAGATAAAAGACGCAAGACAACCTTAAGACCCGCCAAACAGTGAAGCATAAATTATCTTAAGTCCTGGATAGACGTTTACATCAGATATTGGAATTGGTGGTCACATTTCATGTAGTTTTCTCATTAAAGTGGTAGCCATTCGTTACACAGGTCATATGCTTTTAGAATAAAGATTTACCATTGCAGAAACTTCGCCATCGGCCTGTAGAAACTCCACAATTTTACTCTTGTGAGCAGGCTCAACACGAGCAAAGAGACGGGCTCGGCGAACAGCCTCACGTTGTTCCTCAAGTGGGAGGTCATCGAATTCACGGCCAGTAAAGGACTTGCCTGTTGTGGGCTCATCTTCAGAAAACACACCGATACGACGACAGATGGCTTCCGCAGTTGCCTTATTGTCACCGGTGATGACAATGACACGGATACCAGCGTGACGACATTTCACGATGCTGTCATGCACTTCGGAACGTGGTGGATCCAGCATACCGACGACGCCAACAAAGGTTAAGTTGCTCTGGTTGAAAGAGTTTGTTTAAAGAGAATGTGTACCTTTAGCGACCAAGTAAGAAAACAGCTTCCAGGTTGTTCAAATTAGCCAAAACCTAATAAATTTACATTATTCAAGTTTTTTTTCCTTTACACCCACCTCAAACTGTTTCTGGGTGGCTTTGCGTCTATCAGCCTATTTTTGTGCGTATAAATCAATTCATCTCGTTTCATTGCTCACCTCAATTTCCTCATTACTTTGTGATAAAATTACTAAAATGAACAAGGCCATAATGTCTTCCATCTTTCGCGCCCCTGATGTCCACCTGGTTTTTGTACCTTTATTTTTTTCTGAGATTTTTTGAAACATTGTATGCAACGATACTAACAGCATTTTTGTTAGTAGCAATTGACAAAAAAATCAGTTTTTAGCTTTACCTCTCACTCGTATTTGTCGAATCGACCCTGGCAACCTCGGCGCAAGATTTACTTGGACAAAGGATGTCTTGTTGCCCTGCAACACCTAATTGATCACCCACAGATATGAATAAATTCCTACTCAAATAGTTAGTTCCTTTCAACTTGAAAATGGTCCTGATTTGGTACTTACCTCATACTTTCTGAATTTGGTGGAATCCTCCAAGTCCATCTGCTCCTTGGGTATGGGCGCATCGCACGTGGCCAAGGCAAGACAGCGCAGAGTGTCGCGGCCGGTGCCGTAGGCAGCCACGTACTTTACGATCTCGGCCTTAATTTGAGGTGTCATCGCCACTTTTTTTGACCCGACGCGTGCAAAAGTGCACCTGTCGATGACTCCTTCAGGAGCTCCCTTGACGAACATGCGGGCCCCGGGTCCGGTGGGAGTGCTCACACCACCCACGGGATGCGGGTTCGTAGTGTTCGTTTTGGGTGTCACAAAAACGGACATGGATTTGCGATCGCGCGAGAACTCCAAGGTGAAGAGTTTGTTCCACATGGCCTAAATACAAGAAGAAACAGATGTGAGACCAAGTGCCCCTGCTAATGTACTTAATAGCAGCTCAGCCCAAAATGACTCACTTGAATGTTGTGATTGCACACCATGCCCAGTTCCTTCTTGGTGAGCCCAGACTTAGAAATGCCATAGACGTTCATCTTTTCAACAAAAACACAAAGAGCAGTCTCAGTTGCTTCGCCAACTTTCTCGTAAAGTCCTTTAGACTCGTTGTAGTCGACGGCTGAGTCGTTGCACATGGCGCAAATGTTGGCCAGTTCCACTAGGCCTTCGTACTCTCCGCAGTTAACACGCTGGCCTCCGAGGAATCTGGAGAAAGCATTAATCGCGTCATGTTTTGTTCTTCAGGGTGTTTATTAGCGGAAAACAGAATAATTTTACGATGGAATGTTACTGATTTCCGTTAGAAGGGACGATTCTCGACTTTGAGGATAAATGTTACAGTGCTTTAATTTGAAAAAGGAAAAAGGAACAAAGTGAATAAAACTGTTATCTCTGTTTTATTCAGGCAATCCATCGCCTACCAAAGTTAGATCTTGTAAAACTTCGGTCCACAGCATGGAAAGAGAGTTAAAGGAATGGTAACAGGGTGTCAATAATGATATTCTGCACGAATGTCTCGAAACGTCCTGGCACCTAAATGTACGAGTGTATTACGACTCTGATTTAATTAATCAGGTGCTATACATGTGTGCGTATGTCAGGAAAGCCTATAAGTGAGTTCATTTCAACCAACGAAAGTCGAGATTCATACCAACGTAGAAGATCTGATTGCACTAAATTGAATTTGGGTTATCACCCATGCACACTGCTTGAACGCCGTCACTACAACGCGCCAGGGAGCTTGAGTGCCCTCATTCATGCGCCCTAAGCTTTGGCTTTACATTAAGTGATTTTAAAAAATCAAAAGATGGAAATTTAATCTGATGGCCTTATTTATTCGTTAAATGTATTTCACTGTGGTTTCTGTGTCATAGTGGAAAAAAGTCGTTAATTTATTGCCAAAGCCCTGTTGTTGCTGCAACAAGACCATGCGATGTTCTAAAAACCAAGCTTCTTGTTGAAATCAAAGCCGAATTGCTGTTGTTTGGCTGCAAACGTAATGCAAGCCATTATTTAAAATTATTATAAACAGCGTTAACGGAATTGAGGAGCAAACTTACACTTCACCTTCGGGGGCATACTTGGAGCCGGTGATCTCGAACTGATGCGTTGCAATGTTGTTTTCGTCGGCATGCGAGAAGATGAAAGCACGGCACACAGTCATCTGGTTGGTGGTCAGTGTTCCGGTCTTGTCGGAGCAGATGACGCTGGTACAGCCGAGGGTCTCGACCGAAGGCAGAGACCGAACTATGGCGTTCTTCGCAGCCATCCGACGGGTTCCCAGGGCCAGGCAGGTTGTGATCACGGCCGGCAAACCTTCGGGGATTGCGGCCACGGCCAGGGCAACCGCGATTTTAAAGTAGTAGATGGCACCTCGTATCCAGGAGCCACCGTGAGCGGGATCGTTGAAGTGTCCTATGTTGATAGCCCACACCGCGATACAGATGATGGAGATAACCTAAGGGACATTGCTTTGTAAGTTTAGATAGTTAACAAATTAAGACGCTTCAGTTCTAACAGTTTTGTAAATACCAATAAGTACGTAAAGGACCATCTAGAGGTTAATTGTGCTCGGGAGTATTTAGCTGGTTTCGTTTGGTTTTTACTCTCGGCATTCTGTTTTTGTCCCTCAGTTTAAGTCTGATTATGCAATGAACACACACTGAGAGGTGACTGTAAAAATGTTCTCACTGTGTAGTTTACTAAAAGACACTAAAATAAACAAGTAGTAGCAGTTCGAATTTCGTTGTCAATGAGGACTTTAAATTTTCCATGTCGATTGATGAGGATGAAAATAAATAGATTCTACTGTTTCATTTACCTTGGAGAGTTGCTGGCCGAATTCGTCAAGTTTCTGTTGAAGCGGTGTCTTATCTTGCTCGGTGGCCATCATTTGATTGCGGATCTTACCAATCTCGGTAGACAGACCAGTCCCCACGACCACACCACGGCACTTTCCAGCGGCAATGTTTGTCCCACTAAATAGCATGTTTTTTTTGTCCTGGTTTACAGCCCGTGGATCTGGCACCTCCTCAGTCATCTTCAGCACTGATACCGACTCGCCAGTGAGAATGGACTGATCTACACGCATCGTCGTACTGAAGATCTTAGTGATTCGGATATCCGCTGGCACCTTGTCACCAACTATTTAAAAAACATAAACTGAATATCTACGCATTCTATTAATCAAACTTTATTTAAACAAGTATTCGCAAATGTTTTAGGTATCTTGCTTATGGAAAATTGCGTGTTTGTATTAAAATAGCTCACGTATGACGATAATGAGACCTTTAAAAGTTGTTACGGGACCTTTCATTTTACACGTCTAGTGTAACGTATCTATGGATTAAGTTCAATAGCAAATCCAATGGTTAGTCAACAATATATTGTTTGAATGTCTGAATCCATCGTAAAAAGAATATAAATTGACTTTATAACATTTAATGAGCATTGGATATATAAAATCGACTGAGCCAATACGGTCATCAGCCAGCCGGCCCCGGAGCTAAGATTTAACATGCATTCAGCACCACCGTCCTGCGGGGCTTCTTTAAAATGTCGTCGGTTCAGGTTACGATTAAGTAGAAAACGTTCCTTAAAGGGGGGGGGTTAAATTAAAAATGGTTTTGATGGTCACCTAGGAAATAAAAGGGATGTATGCACTCATATTCAAATATTTTAAACTGAACGTCATGTAATCCATCTTAAATTACATGAATCGCTTTCACATACCCGATTGTTCACTTGATTCATAGTAATTTTGTGAGCACATTAAATTAAAAAAGAATAAATGGTTAATATGAATGTGTGAGATAGCGTGTATTGAATTCAATCACAGATGTCAAGTATTTAGCGATGATAAGTAGCGGATTTTTAGAAGAAAGTGCCAGAGTAGTAAGCCAAATTTTATTACGTGATTTTTACATAAACATCAGAAAATGGTCGTTTGTCAGCTTAAGTTGTGTAATTTACGAAGGGATTTTCCATTAATTAAGAACTAAACTTTTAAAGGACTCCACTAATTTGGTAATGACCAGCTGATGCATCTCATCGTGACTTATCTTGCAGTCGAAAGTGGGTGATCAGCTGGTCATCCTATGCCCCATCGACAGACCTTATATTTATACACAACACCTAAATCCACATCGAGATGTTCAAATTTATTTTAAATAACCAACAAGATTGTTGGTGATCCTAGTCTTAGCGGGAGTATTTTGCGAAGCTAGTAAAAACATCCACAGTTTAAATTATTTTTAGTTTTCTAAGTAAGTGCTAAATTTCGGCCTAAATTATTGCTACGCCCGAACGCGCTGACGACACAGCCTTCTCCCTGGACGTTACACGCAACCAATCATTTTAATCGGTTTACGCGATCGAAGGTTCCGGTATCATAATCCCTAACCAGCTTCATTTGATGGCGTCGATCCGTGCACCCTGAGGATGCAGGCAAAGCCAAAGTGGAAATTTCGAGCATCTTTTAACACGTTTTAGCCAATCCGAGTTTTTTTGCGAATTAGTAGCTAAATAATAAGGTAGCAAACAGGTTCTCCTTCAAGTTAAAAGCTTACAAAATTCTTTTTCCCAGTTACTGAAAGCCAATATGAAATAGAGTACATTGTGCGCCATTTGACATTTTGTTAGTGAGACCGTTTAGTTTCTGAGTCTTAAGCAATTGTGGATATGCGTTATGTAACACCAGAAGAAGGACAGAAACGAAATCAGAGCTACCAGGAGATCGTCTGAAGGCAAATCATTAGTGTGGCGTCCCTGTACAGAACAAAGTTTGAAAGAAAAAGACATGGAGAAAACGGCAAACATAAGTTATTTAGAGTTGTTACAACAACTCCATATAGTACTGACAAGCTTCTTCATTCGATGGCTGGTTGTGTAGGTCAGGTGATGCACCGTCTGTATCAGGCATTAGCCAATATAATTGTTCCGATAGCACTTGGCATTAAACCGAAAGAATCAAACAATAATTAAGAAATTTCGTGGGACTCAGAGTTTCTGCTAAGCAATTTAAATGCCATCCATACAGACCAATGTAAGGTACATTTAATGAACAAATCGAAACCTATTAAAAATCAGTATTCAGCTGTTCTGTTACTGAGTTTCATTCCACCAGGGTTTCCTAAGCAAGGCATTCCTGTAGTACGTAGATAACAATGCATCATATCTGGTGGTGAATTATACCTTTTGGACCGATCCATTTTAGCTTAACGATATAGCAAGTGATGTTACATAAGCACATAGATTTTCACCAAACTGGAAGAGAAAACAAGGCAAATTCCATGAGTTTACAACACAGACCTTATTGTTTGAAGTGATCGGCTAAAATTTAGGGTCCCGATCACCAAACTAGGTGTAAAATGCTGTACCTTAGTAGATTCTAGCAAGCACTTTTTGAAAAACACTCTTGAATTTAATCAATTTATGTTAGGTTAATCCACACCGGATTGGGAGTAACGCGATCTATTTTAAGCTATTATTATTGAATGGACTCTATCATACCAGCATTTAATTTAGAATTAATTAAACCAGATTTTACTTCCAAGGACTGACCCTTGTCAATCATACTTGCATAGGCATCTTTGGAAATGCATTTATTCTCATTATCATATGCATTAAATTTGATGTGACAGCCAACTTACTGGACACCTCAACAATGTCACCGGGGACCAGATTGACGGCCTTGATCCGCTGGATTCCTCGGTGACTTTTGCGGAACACTTTGGCTATTTCTGGTTCATATTCCTTAAGTGCTTCAATAGCTGATTCAGCGTTTCTTTCCTAAGAGGTGCGCAAATTTTAAGTCGATAAAGTGAAGTAGTACAGTGACCGCACCACTGTTTACTAATTTTTTTAATTCAATGTCTTTGAAGGAACTTGAAAAAAGAGTGACTTTTGGATAAATTTTATCATTACTGCTGCAAGAAAGAGGTCCAAAAAATTTCTGGAAATAGTTGCTTTTCCTATTATTAATTTACTCAGCTTTGTCCCCTATACTAAACAGCCCCTAATTGGCTACTTTAATACTAAGTCTAAACTTATAACACAAGATCTTGTGGATGATATTGGGGGAATAAGGTCATATGAGAATGCGGATCTAATCAAAACTGAACTTTAGAATAGCAGCACTTATTTTGAGACATTTAAAATAAATTAAAATATCGAACACATCAAGAATTTTAATTATAAATTCTGCCTAAAAATAACCCATCGTTTTGATTGCGGATAATAACATAGGCCCAAAACACCAATAAATATCTGGATTCACTAAAGATCATTAGGGCTAACAAACATTTGCAACTGACAGCTTTAACTACTGGTGTCCCTATTCATGCGATCATTAGCGTATGTCACTGTAAAAATATCAGCTGAACGGAAGTGACATCACCATGCATTTAACCTGTCATGATGTCTTTCACTTGTTCAGTGCCCTTTTGAGACAAAGTCGGACTTCCCGCTATACCACTTTTCTAGACTGTGAAATTCTATTTTGACTGTTAGACGTTTGTGTATTTTCCTGGTAAATCCATACGCTTTGAGTAGATAAGAACGAAATAAATAATTGCACCTCGGAAACTAGATTCTTATGTTACGACTGTGATATTGGCTGATTTTTTGCTGGCAAAATGGTTGCAAAATATGGAATAGAATTAAGCATGATACTGTTGTGAATCGCGCTGATTTTCATGCTAGTTAATTCGGTCGCTCTATTCGCTGACATAATATGCCCCTTTCACAGCATGCTATCAACTGAGCATAACCTCAACTAACACCTCATTTTTAGCGCATGGCTACATGCCGGGGCCCACAACAATACCGTCACATGAGGGTTTAGTACGCATCCAACCATGGTCATTTTTGAATACTTTTTTTAAATTGCACCTTAGGTGTGAGTATGCTCTGCTACCGATGACATTACTGATAATCACTTGGTACAACCTTATAGTAAAAAATACTATATCTCGATAGCGTACTAATGGCTAAAAACTAGATTTATTCCTGCACTTTTAACAACAGTTTTGATGATACTACGGAATGTTGCATTTTTCTCTTGCTGAAGAGTTGTTATTTACCAACCTCACAAGGAAACCTACTTTTTGTGTGCGTATTGATTCATTTGTTAATTTGACTGAACCGGATTTTGTCTGTGCACCCATTTCATTTGACCCAAGAACCCAACGGCCATTTATTCATAAATCTTGTCATAGCTTTTTATATTTTGATGTGTGTCTTCTTAAAATATTCAATGGTGCATTGTGGTGACCATGATCTTTCAGTTCTGTAGTCATTTGCTCCCTCGGTAAAAGCATGACCTCCTTAAGCTCTTATCAGGTTGCGTGATCCAGGATAGGAGTAGGATTATTATAATCTGATGAATTTCTCGAAGAAAAATGCTAGCTAAATTTGACTGACCTGCCAAACACCAACGATTGCATTCGCAACAAGAATGAGCAAAATGACAAAAGGCTCCACAAATGCTGTGATGGAATCTTCATCCTCTTCAAATAAAGCCAATACCTGACGAGGGAAAAAGCACGTTTAAATGCTTAATTAAACTAAGTGAAGTGGAGATTTGAAGGTAACCGCTGTGAATTGATTTGATGTAATCAGTCATGCAGTGGTTCGTCAATAGTGAGGTCGAGATATTTGTGGACTCGATTTATGGCGATGAGGTGTGGGTGTGTGATGGTGGGGGGGGGGATTTAAGAAAAAGAATTATCGGAAACTCACGAAAGATATAAGGGCAGCAAGGAGGAGAATTTTGACGAGAAGATCATCAAACTGCTCAATTACCAGCTCCCACAGAGACTTCGCTGAAACGGTTGACGTTATTAAAAATTATGCAAACTATTAACTATCGTGGTAAGATTTCTGCTAAAATGCACTTAAGCCAAAAGTAAGATGTGAACTCAATACATCATGACATCAAGTCATTTTTAGGAAAAACCTACGACACATGCTCCGCTAAACAAATTAAGATGTTCCATTTCTTACACAAGCTATCATAGATGGATGAAGCAGTTTGACACAGTAAAATTCCTTGAAGACGCGTGACTTCTTGACAAAAGCGTGGGAGCTAGCTTGCAAAAACTCCACGTATGAACTCAAGCCTATAGTTTGCAATGGATTTTTTGTGTTGGTATGCAAATTAATCACTAAGGTGCGAAAATCCACTTACTTTCTTCTGCTGGGAGCTCTAAAACGATAGAGGTAAAAAAGCAATTTATAAATGCTGTTTAGTGACAAAATTGCCAAAACAGTATAAATACTTGTTCATATAGGCAGTATGTTTTTCGGGGTTATTACCTGGCTTTTAGTTCAAAGAAACCAGCTACGGGGAACCTGAGTAGATCTTTAAGAGGCAAACGTAAAAAGTGTGCCACTGATTTTAGTGAAACAAACGCATTTACTAAGATGCCTTCATAGTAAAAGGCCAAAAAGTATTTCTAGTTCGGGGAAAATATGTCCGAATAGTTTTTGCACTGCGATGATGCATTCAGTGGCAGCTAAATTAGTTCGAGCAAGTTGTGAACTTAAAAGCGTATTCACCAACTTTCCACAAAGGTCTAAGTATAAATCACTTTTAAAAAAGCAACTCGCAGCACAACCAAAACAGAGAAGTGGTAATCATATGCTACAAGGCAGCGTCGAGCCAAATTTTCAGAGGGGTCAAGTTTTAACTCTAACTTTCGATAATTTTATTGAGCCTTGTATGCCACGTTCGTTTCATTATTAATGATAAAAATCACCAAGAAATTTGCTATTACCTGTTTTATGTAAGAACATGACAAAGAATTATATCTTAGAAATGAGAGTAATTTCTTAACGTATAAAATTAGAACACTAGTTACTGACATATTAATTGAGGCTAATTGTAGCTGGCCCAGCTGACTCACCGTTAAGTCCATATTTTTCAGAATTCCGTTTGACCTGCTCGTCGGACAAACCTGTCTCCTCGTCCACATTGAAATAGGCGAGAACATCTTCAGCCTTGCGGCAATGAGCGTTCTCCATGGCGTTGAACTGGTTACTGGTCTGACGTAAAGTTTTCTCTTTTTGGTGGTCTCAGGGCCTTAGAGTCATGAACAAACAAGAAAAAGATCTCGTGGGAAGCAGAAGGAGCTCCTGATTGCAAAAAAGTATCACACTACTGCACACACTTAAATACGTGCGTGCTGCACCACCCGCTTTTAATAATTCCCTTGCAATCAAACCCCGTCCTGTTTTCAGTTGTGGGTCTGCAGTCTGCCTTCCTCTCCGCGCTTACCTAGACAACAATTTCGGTGTATCCGCAGTCAATCGCGCTTCCTCGTACGCACTGACACGTGTGCGTGCGTGCGTGCGTGTGTGCGTGTGCAAATTGATCGGCAAGGCTTACCCACCCGTTCAACCAGGGCACACGTGCGTACACGGTACACGGGATATACCTGTGCGAACCTACGGGCTTGGTGATCTTCTGCATTGGTCCCCTTGCCCCACACCAAGATGAACACTTGTAACCGTGTTGCGCACCCACACAGACGCACCTTGAAGTACCAATCAGGCTGACGTGTGCACGCGCACACACTGGCAGGTCAACAAGGTCACTCGTGCGGGCGAGAATCGATAACAAGGTACGTACGTGCAAGTAACTGTTGGGTTCCACCATGCTGTTGTTAACCCTGATAATGGCGGTGTCGACAGCCGTGTTGGGAACAAATAAGCCTAACGTCCAGGTCGCCATCATTTAAATTAAAATATTCAAACGAGTGCCATGCTCGAGATGGTAAATTTCTCGCAGTTTAGTTTCCGCGATACTGGTTACTGGTTTTAACAATCATAAGTATGAAAAGGAGGCGAACCAGTATCAGATAATATAGCCTAATAAGGCAGATATAGAAAAACGCTTTTAATTAGTTTGACTAACTAGACCAATTCGTAACAAAATGCAATCTAAATGTTACTATTCACACCTTACAAAATTAGTTTGGGCAAGGTCATGAAGAGAAAGTCCAATCGATCAGCAACGTTGGTTAGAGACATGGATCTTTTACCCACGTGTTTCACCTGGGAAATTATTCAGAAATTTCACACAGATTTATCCCCGGAAATGGTACAGGAGCAACGAACCAGAATGTGTCCCTGCATCAATAATCGACATTGTGGTGAAATCGTTGCAAGACAAAAGACTGAATGTTCGAATCTGGAGTTGGTTTGCCTGTAGGTTTACCATTTGAGGTTAGCAACATCCTGCCTCTAGACAAATGAATACAATTGTTTGTGTAAGCTTGCTGAATGATTATTTGAAGTCTGATATCCTCAAAACAAAGAGGTTGATCGAGTATCCGCCAAGCCTGCGAGGTTCATTTTACCAGCGAATTTGTGGGCTCGCACGATGAATATTTTTAAGTGTTCAAGTACTTGAAGGCCGGACTCTCTACAATCTACAAAAAATAGGTTTATTGAGAACAAAGATTCTTCTGCCTTAAAATTTTTTTTACTCTCAAATCACCTGTCCAAGTTTAGTCCATGTAGATTATTACACTTGGTAAAAACATACATAAACAAGACAATGTTTACCATATGCAGAGACTAGGTTCATTGCTTCACTTTCCTTTGGGATGTAAATAGTTGACTTTCCACGCCTAGCAGTCTAGATTTTCGCTTTGCCTGAATCTAGAGAAAGGCATTGTGCGTCCTTGTGGCCCCCATGACTAGAACATTTCATTGCAAGTCTCAAACCAGCCAGGTTTAAGTTTGACAATAAACGTTAAGTCACTCCAATGTTCCTCTTATCATAGTACCCATTCTTTTACCGTAATTTAACTGTTAACAACTAACTTTGTGACTTGACGAGCTGACATTTTCTTACCGGGGTGCAGCCAATACACAATTTTGGTGACCCACATTACTTAAATTATTGCCTGAAATTGCAATCGTTAAAATTTCATCTTTCCAAAAGTTTACACACTAACGCAGTTTAAAAATGCAAATTATTGGTCAGCAACACAGTAAGACTCAGAGATGATTTACCTATTTAATTTAGGCACCTCAAGCACAATAAATTTGGCATCGTACAGTTACGTACTACATTCAGGTGAATCTTGACTCTCTTTCATTTCTATGTTTCAATGCCAAAATTACCATAATTAAGCATGGTTTTTATCGATGCATTCAAAGTACCCCTTGCCAACTCTGTGTGTGACTTCCAGAACTTCGAATTACATGTGATTACCACGAAAACATTCATGCATTCTGAACAGAATGTAAAGTCCATTCGTATGGCATGTCAAAATGATACAACTAATTGCCACTCCCTTTTTGCAAGAAAAATGCTTACTCGTGTATGACTATGTCTGTCAGAGCGATGGCCATTTAATCCATGTGTAAGTCAGGTTGCTCTTTGATGTGTAACAGCTTTTTTAAACAAGTTAATCTGCAACTCAGCCTATTTTCGAAGGATCGGCGTACTCGTGGTCACGATGGGAACAATTCAGCAGTGTCCAGTGGAGAATAGTTGGAATTTCAACACTGTGGCGGAGCAGCCTATTCGCATAGAAAAATTGCATAAGTTGCATTAGACTACTTTTTTATACACGGAGTTCTACTAAATATAATTAATAATCCTGGGGTTCAGGTTGTCACGACAAACTGTTTAACAATGACTAAATGCCCTGAGCTCAAGAAAATTGCTTATATATGACTCCCGATGATTTGGCACCAATCATAAAACGGAATTTACCGTGGTTTAAGGATGCGATTTTAAGATTCCTTGAACGTGCGCTCGAGTACAGAACAAATAGAGATCAGTTGTCAGTCTTTGCACAATAACATTTGTCCAGGGTTCTCAATTTACCACTAGCATCGACCGGCCCTTAAAAGTGCCTTCAGATCCCTGCATTAATAGCACCGCAGACTAATAAAATTGAGGTAGATCCACTGTATTTTCGTTTAAATTACGAGAAAAATGCCGTGTAGTTGGTGATGTGTTCTTATGAAAAACGTATCATTTATCTCAAATAATAACCTCTTTGTGGTAAAAGCCTCTAGTTGTCAAATTTGTCGTTTATTGGAAATTCCACCATTAGGTAGAAGCGATGCAAATTTTCTTTTGCTTTCGTCTTCATCTTTACGAATTACGACTGCACCCTAGATGATGACACCAAGTACAAACAGGCAATCAAATTTGGGTCAAGTTGTCCCCTTTACCCGTCGACCTGAAGTCACTACCCACGACATTACATGCAAAAATTAATGCACATTTTTGACCTCTAAGTAACACTAGAAGCTTAGTTGAAACAATGTCGCCAAAAAGTACTTTTGGTGACTAAAGCGAAGTGGGTTCTTTATTTGATATCGATGTTTGCATTCATGCATAATGTACCAAGCAGGATATAGCTTTGCCCCTCTGAGTATTACAGTGACAAATAAAAGTTTAGCTTTAGTTCTATTCTTTAACTGAATGTCGTATGCACAAATGGTTGTTGCCACCTCGTAGCTAGTTTGATCAGAGCAATCACATTAATTTGATTTCAAAGAGATTCATTTAATTAATCAAATGACAGTGCTCTTGACAATTCAAAATTATGCTACAAAAACTGCTTTTCACTACAATTTATAAGAAGAAAGTAATAAAACCGATATATCCTTGAGACTAAAAAGCTACATCAAATTTTATTTGCACAATCCCGTTCTCTTTACATGGTTTCCTAGTACCAAAATGAAATGTTCGGTGTCCATTTATCGCTTACTTGCTAAAAGACCCTACTACAAAAGTGCCGCGTTTTTCCTAGAGCTACCACCAAATAAACAATAGATCCGTTGATCGTCGACATACATGAACATGCTCATAGCATCCCTACCGCAAAGCGAACCTATAACTGCACTCGCTGAGGCAGGCTACGTGCATTTTCCAGCCTGCTCTCTTAACCGTTGTCACCGACTTTCTGGCAACTTTCTGGTCTACCGCGACCTATGAAAGACTATATATGTGATTTAATTGCGTATTGGTGGAACGGTAAGAACGCAGGTCACTGTAACTTACGATTGTTCACAGCATTCCAGTCCACTGACTTCCATAAAAACTCCATGCAGTGTCTCTCGTCTAACAATTCAAAACAATTTCACCACTTTAACCAAGGTTAAAAAATACAGAGGTTGAATGATGGCACCATTTATGAAAACTGTTCTACTCAGTTAATTGTATAAGCAGTCACCAAAATTAAGACCCACACCGTTCATGATGCTCTCACTTTCATGACCAGGGCGAGTCGAGCAGCACAGCACTTCAGAGAATTATTTTTATTCACATTAGCCAAAGGGATTATGCGAACTTTGCGTTGTGTTACTGGGGATAAATGAATTTAAGTTCAGCGGGATATCAGTTAGCTGGAAATTAAGCACTGTTGAAATTCAATGAAGTCTCTTCTACCATTCACTGAAAAAAATAATCACCAAAATGTTGAATTACCATGAGGATTTGTCGTTAATGTCCAACATTTCAATTTAAATAATCCCAAGTCAGCTCTTAAAGATCCAGTAAAAGTTACAACTCCGCGCACATTACCGCTTACTTAGACTACTGCATTGCACCACAAGGCGCCGACACGTTCAACTAGCACCAAAGCAAGCTTGCCCCAAGGGTTTTCGAAAGCTCCTAAGCAATTGCTCAGTTACCATGGCAAGACATGGAGTAAACAGACGTGTGTGCAACAATTGGGACTGGGCAGCAGTTACTAGACAGACTCAGTGTGCTGGTACTGATTATATTCGTTATTCGTTCCCACTTCAAGCGGTGTCACCAATGTGTGTGCGCGTGTGTCTCGCCGAGCTTCGTCTATGCAGCACCACAGTTTTCCACCCACCAGGTCAATCCTCAAATTAAACAAACTCTTCCCTGTTCGTCGATTCTGTGTAGACGATGGCAAAAAGCCTTATCAGCACATTCTCCAATGCGGAACACCTCGGCATCGTGTGATCTGGACATTAAGGGGAGCGAAACCATCGTCGGGCAATGAGTTTGCCTAATTTACCTG